CTTGGTACCAAAACAGTGGATTTCCACCTAACTGGGTGATTGCTATTACTGAAAATGGTTGGACAACAAATGAGAAAGGCATGGATTGGATTCGACATTTTGAGAAGCATACAAAGTCCCAATCTATTGGTGGTTATCGTCTATTAGTCCTCGACGGCCATGAAAGCCACCACTCCGACGAATTTGAGGAATATTGCAAGGAAAACAACATTATCACTCTTTGTATGCCTGCTCATTCTTCTCATATACTCCAGCCACTCGACGTTGGCTGTTTTAGCCCTTTGAAAAGGGCATATGGTCAGCAAATTGAAGATATGATGCGGGCTCCGATCATCCATATTACTAAGGATGATTTCTTTCCTGCCTTCCACGCCGCATTTAATATTGCAATGACAGAAGGCAATATCCGAGGAGGGTTCCGAGGGGCTGGGCTTCTTCCATTTGACCCAGAAAGTGTAATTTCTACACTTGATCTTAAGCTAAAGACGCCAACGCCTCCAAACTCCCCCCCGTATTCCGCTCAGCCTTGGGTTTCCCAGACACCAAATAACCCTACTGAAGCCTTATCACAGACTGCATTTATTAAAGATCGAATTTTACGCCACCAAAGTAGCTCTCCAACCCCTATTTACGAGGCCATTGACCAGTTTACGAAGGGTGCATCAAAAGTAATGCACCAGATAGTACTATTGAAAGCTGAGAACCAGAGACTTCGACAAGCAAATGAAGTACTAAGTAAGCGCCGTAGAGCTAAAAAAAACCGCCTACAGCAAGGAGGATCACTTAGTCAACAGGAAGCGCAGGACCTACAGGATGATAGAGACGTTGGTGAGCAGGTAATGCAGGAAATAAAGAGAAGTAGTGGTCGGAAGCCGAGGGAAGAATCACGTGCACGGCGCTGTGGCAACTGCGGAGAGACTGGTCATAATACGCGCACCTGTAATATTATAGAGGAAGTATCTGAGGAAGAAATTTCTGAATAGTGTTTTTTAATTAGAGGCGTTGTGGTAGAGTTCTTACAATTTCAATCGCGAGTGAAGAGAATTTTGGCCGGTTCGCTTGTTTGGCCGGTTCGCTATACATGCACGTTAAGTAAAGTTTAAAAACAATAGTTTTTAAATAATTATTATTTAAAGAGGTAATTATAAACCTAAAATCTAAACGTATATATATTATATTAAAGGGATATTAGTTATAAAGTTAACTTTAACCTTTTTAAGTTCTTAAGTAAATTTTATAAGTATTACTAACTCTATAGTAAGTTTCCTAGGTAATTGAAATTCGCTATTTATAATAACTTCAATTTAACTATAATATATATATTAACGTTTTTAAGATTACTAATTATAATATTCTATATTATATAAATAAAGCTATTAGATTCTAAGTAATAAAATAACTTTATAACTTTAATATAAAAACTACTTAGAGGTTATTCTAAAAGATATAAATAAATACCTATTTTAAATTACTTAACTTAATTACTTATAATAAAGGAATAAACTTTATTAGTAAAAAGTTTAGATTACATATAAAAACTTTTAGAACTATAATAGTTATTATTTCTACTAAAGTATATTACTAAGTTAATAAGATTAAATAGTACTATAGCCTACTTTATAGAGCTTATAGAATACTTAATACAAAACTACTTATATATTTATTTGTTGGTACGACCTGGTTGTCGTAAAGGGTGATACACAAACATAATCTCTCTTTTTATTCATTCGTGTATGAAGAGTAAAGGTAAAGAGAGGTGGTACTCTACAGACTTAAGTATGTGAGTAGCAAGCCACTCACATGACCTAAAGTATATAGGCCTACCAGGCTCTCGTACAAGGTGCTAATCACCAGAATTATATACCGACATTATTATTATAAAGTTAAATATTATTAGAATATATTTAGAAATATTTTAATACAAGTTTAATTTAAGTTTAAATATAATTAAAATATATTTAAAATTAAAATTTAGGTTTATATAATAACATCAGAATATAATTCGATTTATAGTTAACTTAAATTTAGATTTAAGTTAAAACATATTCGAATATAGTTTAAATATAGTTCGAATATAACTAAAATTTTAAATATATTTATAAATTAAGTTAGATTTTATTTTATATTAGATAGTTATTAAACTTGTAGTTTAATCTAAGTTAGTATTAAGTTATACTAAGCTCTAGTACTATTCTAATAATAATTAGATTAAATAAAGCTAAAAAGTACTTAGAATAGATTTTTATTTAAACAAATCGAGATTTTCTTTCTTTTATAATTTTCCCTAGAATTTATATAGCAACTAGCCCTATTTTTAGTGGCCTGATACGTTTTAGACTTCGCGCTATAAGTCTATCTACTCCCGAAGTTTATCCGAGCTAGTAGGTAGAGGTAGTAGGTAGCGGGTAACGTACTTTATAGCCGGGACTAAGGTAACGCTAGAACCTAGTGCGGGCGCCGTCGGTACACGGGCTATCCGACTATTCTACCTTTATAACTTCGATAACCCTCGAATATACTCGAATACCCTCGAAGCTCTCGATAACCCTAGTATATACTACTCTTAGGCGTATTTCTAATACTAATAGTTATATATTCTAGTATAATAACTACTAGTACTACTAGGGGTTATTAGAATTAAAAACGTAGTTCTAGATTGATTCTAGCTGAAAATATACTAAAAATACCCGACTTTAATAAATTATAATAAATCGAATAATATTCTAAAGTACTTATAATTAGAGATTTAAATATAGATATATAAAGGGTTAAACCCATACTTTTTAGAATTTATATATATATTACTATTCTATTATACTATAAGACTAGTAAATTTAGTAGGGAATTTAATAAAGGGAAACTTTCTACTAGAGTATTTCTTAAAATATTAGGTGTTAATTAAAGCTCCCGGGTATATACTTAGCCTATATATACTAGAGAGCTAATATATAAGATATTATATATAGCTCTAATATAATTTCGTAGAGTTATAGAGTTATAAAAACGTAGTTTTTAGTATATTTTCGGCGAAAATTAGAAACTATATCTTTAATTCTAATAACCTATAGTAGTATAATAACCGCTTATATAATAACCGCTTATATAATAACCGCGAGTATATAGTAGTAGTATAATATAGTATAATATATAGTAGTAGTATATAGTTATAAAAGAATATATTTCGTAGGTATAATAATATAAATACGAAAATAATACAAATTTATATAATTATATATTTCTAGTAGGTTTCTATTTACTTTAGTAGTTTACTTTCGACTATAATCTAGGCTATACTAAACTATACTTCTAGTATAATTCGAGTATAGTCTAACTAATGTTTTGACTAAATTAACGTAGTTATTATAAGGTAATTATTTACTTAGACTATTATTCGACTATTAGTTAGCTTAGAATCCGATTATATTCGAACTATATTCTAAAATAATCCGACGTATTTCTACTTAGAATTAAATAGTAATTAGCTAAAAGTTAAACTATATTTTAACTAAAGTTAAACCCTAGTTAAATTATAATTAAATAATATAGTTAGAATAAATTTAGAAAATAGTTAAATTACTTATAGTATAACTATAATATAGTTAACTTCTAGTTAATATATATAACTTATAGGAAATATATAAGTAATATTCTAAAAATTAAGTATATTTATTATACCTCTTATATAATTATAACGGGATACTACTTAGTAGTTCTAGTTAACTATATAATATTATTTAAATTCGTATATTATTTATAGCTTTACCTTAATTCCGAATTACGTTTTAATAATAAGCGTATACTTAATTAAAATACAAATATAAACGTAAAGTAAAATTAGAATATACTAAGTATTTATTAGCTTTAGAGTAGATAATAATTAAGTTTTTATAGTAATATATTATAATATAATTATATAATAACTTTTCGACTAATTAGAGAATTAAGGAGTTTTAGATTAAATTATTATTTTTAGATTTTTTAATTACCCGCTAGAAGGGTTACTACTACTAAGCCGGTACTCCTAGTTTTAAATAATTAATAACTTAATAACTAACTATTAGAAATACCTAAATTAAATTTTAATATTATTAGAAAATTACAAAGTAATAGATCTAAGATTAAATAGTATTTTCAATTAGTAGTTATTGTAATATACTTATATTAGTAGTACGTAGCCTTTTAGTAGACTATAGAGGACGGACACTACTAAATGTATCGTGATTAGTTAGTATAAACTACTACCCTAGTACCCTATTAAAATTTTAACCTACTACCTATATATCGACCTACCTCGACAACAACCTATTTGTAACGAATACTCAAACTGGCTAACTAAACTTGGCTGGGTGTTCGCTGGTTGGTATGCTATGATAAGAAGAAGACTATCGGGTTGTTCACTTGGAAGTGAACTCGTTACTTGTATCAAAGATGTCAAACTAATATGATAAGATTGATAACTAAGTTGAGCACGAAGCTCCTATCTAATGGCAGAAGTTCCAGTCTTATATAGAACCTTCGTTCTACTGGATCCATCGGGGTCCATCACGTGACAACAACCAAATGAAATCCATGGATCGCTTAGCTGGCCTAAGCAATCCCTATTTGCTATAAGAAACCTGGATGTGCCTGTCGAGGGTTGCGCCTCTTTATTATGACAAGTATCACGTGAGCATGTGATCCGTGACACTATTATATCGATTAATATTGTTTGTTATATAGGTTCGGCTAGTTATTTCAAGTATTTGTCTATTAGAATCATACGAAAAGAGTGTGTTGTTATTTTAATATTAGTTTATAGGATTAAACCTAGGAGTGCCGGCTTGGTGGTAGTGCAGGCTTAGTGGTAGTGCCGGCTTGGTGGTACTAACAACCCCTCTAGCGGGTGGTCAAAAAATCCCCCCCCCCGCACCCAAAAATTAATCCAAAACTCCTTAATTCTCTGATTGGTCGGAAAAAACTCTTAGTAATCACACCTCACTATAAAGACTTAACTATATATACTCCGAAGCCAACAAGTAAAATAAGAATTTCATTCTTTGCTTTATTCTAGGAATAAGTACTCGTTAGAAAATCCCGCATCTAGCGACCAAGCTCGGTAATTCTATCCAACCTCTTATTAACATATTGTCTATGCCGAGCAGTGTCCAGATGCCTAAGGAACTTTCTCCATTCCTTGTCACTTGGATTACTTCGGTATTCCTCCATATCGGATAGATCCCATTCCTTTAAATCGCCATCAGCTGATCTGGGACATTCAAGACAAGAGATGCGCAGACAGCTCGGCGACATAACCGTTTTTGTATGGTCATGGCTACAATCAGAAGTACACTCGAATTCCAACTCCCAGCCCGGGAGGATAAGATCTTCGGGATATGCTTCGTAAAGTTGGGCGAGGAGTTCTTGGAACGAAGGCTCGAAGACCAGCTAGTGGGGTGGGTTAGCATGTGAAGAGGTAACCAGGAAAGGGTGGATGAACCATGCGTTTGTGTTTAGTAACTCCAGGAGCTGCACTCTCCCTGATAAGACGTGCTTCAACAAGAATCTGGTGATCGTTGTCCTCAAGGTGCCTTTCCATAGCCTGGACTGGAATACTGGGGCGGAAAACTTTCGTCAAGCAATCGTGGCATTGGAAAAAGCGTGCTCCTTGACTTTTGAATGCCTCGAAACGGTCATCAGGATACTTCTCTTGAAGCCTGTCCATGCATTCGGAGAGGCTCGCTCTGCTCTGGAGATAATCAGCGACCGAATAGTAAATCTAAAAAATAGGTCCTACAAAGAAGATCTCGTCCTTTTCTTCTTGATTAAGTGGGAGGGAGACGAGCAAGGATCAACTGGTAAGCATCTCGGCAAAAGGATATAGTGAGTGATTTACATACCTCTCCATTGGAAATGGTTGGACAAATCATGTTACTTGGTCTCAATTTAGGATGGTATTTGAATGCCTGAAGGGAAATGATGCCATCGTTGAAGTAATCAACAGCCTTAATGATCTTCTTCTGCATGAGGTAATCTCTACCATCTCTGAATATGTGGCGTCGACCAGTTTTTTCGAAGACGTGTTCTTGCAAATCCTCCACAGTACAGTCCTGGAAGGAAATGTTAATGCGTGAGCTCCGAAGGATCCACCCATATCGATTTATCTGCTTACCTCCTCGATAATCAGAACCAGAAGTTTGTCGAGCCTGATAGGATACCGACAAGGGTCATCATGAATCGCAACGACACATGCTCCACTGGATGGCGCTGGAAGCTCGATATGTGATTTCAATACTTCCTGATGAAGTTTTCTATGCAAGTTAGACTGCAATTTCCCATCCTATTCGTATTTACTTACACCCGTGAGTCCGGCTTTCCTGGAGGCATGGCTTGAAATTTCAAGTTATGGTGATTTCGAAGAATCTATAGGATTGTGCTCTCCAGGTGGGGGACTCGAGGAAAAAGGGCCGAAGGATTGGCCAGGCCAAAGCGTAGATTTCTTGGGGTGTCTCTTATCTACGGAACCCCGCCTGGTTGTCCGGGTAGCACTAGGAGCGCACAAGGACTATTCTAGAATAAGGTTGAGATTGATCGCAAGGAGCGAAGAGATCTGAAGGCCAGCTAATATTTATACTCGAAGAGAGCCCTGACTACTCCCAATTAGGAAACTCTGAACCCGCACCATTCACCAAGCGAGAGCGTACCCCTATTCACCAATCCACCTGTACCGTCACGCTGTTTTACTTATTCAAAGGAGTTAGATGTAATATTTACAACAGGCACCTTTGAAAACAAAGCTAACTAAGGCTTAGTAACAAACAGGGGGGTTCGAAACGTCTCGCTTATTCAGAAAAACAATGTATCAGTTTTAATGTTGAGATTCACAACTCGAGACTGGAATCGAAGTATCTAACCTAGAGCCGAAGAACTGTGATAGTTATCTCCATCCATAGTTCCCATAATCCACCCGCCTGGCCTGGGAAACTGTACTTACATTTCCACTATCTGATTTGCACAAAAAAAGAAAGCCGAAAATAAGCTCACTTTCATAAAATCGTAAGCAGATGCAGTGCCATACCCTCAACGCCCGTCGCTTATGCAAAAGACCCATCCGCCCATTAGTGTACAAGTTCATCCGGACCCATTCCCCGAGCCCTCGCCACCCTGTTGCTGTTCTCTCATCTTCTTAGATCGTTCCTCGGCGGCCTTCGCCAATATTTCCCTCCGCCTTAGACCTTGCGACTGTGTAGAACTCGAATCCGTAGTTTTCCCAGCCCCAAGTACAAACTCGCCACCCGACCAACCACCATGGTCATGGAAATCCTCACTATTGCCACCATAAAATTCCTCATCTGGAGCAAGAGTATGACCACTGGTCTTCCAATCCGCTGCCGCAACCTCCTTCTCAATCTGCTTACACAGATCCCAGAAATTCCGATCGTGGGGACCATGAACGTTATGTGCCAGTTCGTGACAGAGGGTATTCCGAATTGTTTTATAGTCTCGGTAGCCGTCGTAAGCATCAGTTCGTAAGCGTAACTCTATGACTTCTCCTCTGTTTCGATTCAGGCCCAGTGTTCGACTTGTGCCCTCGTGGTCTGACTGTGTGTGCTCGATGGGGTTCATTTCCGTCAAGAGAGGTACTGTGAACTTGTGTTTTAACATTGTGGCCTTGATACCAGCGTCGTCCTTTAGCCTCTGAAGAAACTCCAGCGATCGTGAAGGGTTTGGAAGGTAAGATAGCGGCTTTAATGTTAGGAATGTATATTGGCTTTCTTCTTGCTCTTTCTTCCAATTTCGAGTCTTATAGGCCGATACTTTTTGAAGAGGTCTGCTACCCCTCGGATGGACTCGTCGAGAAGCCTCTTCCTGGGCAGTGGAAATTGCGGTTGCTTCTTTAGCTGTGGCGCCGAGAAGGGATATCTTCTTGTCTAGAAGGGCGGTAATCGCCATCGCGGGGTCTTTGAAAGGAGGCTTCAAAAGTCCTAGTTTGGAGATCATGAGTTTCTGGTTGGATGGTGGTACTGAGAGGGTCGAGTCGATGGATTCCGAGAGATCCACGAGAGTCGCATCGCGTGGGAGAGAGATTATGTGAGGCTTGCCGTGGTGTGTGAAGGTTATTTCGACTAGATCCTGATTGTTAGTTGCAGCTGCCATCTCGGCGTCTTGAATATCAGCATCAGCACTGGCATCAGCCATGATCTGGGTAGAAGTAGATGATCTTCACGGAGTCGGTTCACAGAAGAGACGGAGTATGAGTACGAGTATGCGAAGAGAGAGTTGTAGTAGGGAGAATATGTCTTGATATCAAAGGGACTCTACTCGAGTACTCGTACACTCGAGAGTAATACTAATCAACTTGGTGGTGGAAGTTTCTAGGCAGGTGATGGCTTCGTAAGCAAAAACGGTGATGGTGAATGACAAGGCAACGCCAAGCCCAAAACTAAATATCGGGGCTGAGGGCCTGAGTGCCTAAGGACGTAAGTGAGAAAAGGGCCTCAGCGCCTGAGGCAAATAATCTTCACAGGGCTGTCAGTTGGTACTCGGTAGCTGTTGAGTGAGCCCAGCAGCATGATCCCTGCAGGCTCCGCTATAGCTCTCTGCTGCAAGCATCCTGACACTAGCACGACCTACCTGCACTTGCCGCGTCGTTGCGTGTCCTCTCTCAACGCCTAGACAGATGCTTTAGAAAAGATATACCACAACACCAACGACCACTAACTGATCAAGCACACCCATTGAGACTCCTCATCCACCACAACACCCGCTGGATACCCCCAGCGATTGGATCCATTCATTGCAAAGCCTGCCTTTAGCACATTGGACTAGTCCCTGAGCTAGATCGCAACCATGAATATTTTCAGGATTGCGGGTAAGTCAACCCACGAGCTATTGCTGTCAACTTATGAGAAGGTAGAGATGTCAACTAACTTATGTGCCACTTCCAGGAGATTTGTCCCATCTGATATCCATCTTGATCCTGCTACACAAAATGCGACAGACACATGTAATTACTCCCCAGCACCATTGGACCTGTCGCATCCACATCCGCATCAGAAACTAATTGGTACATGTAGTCCTGCTCCGGGATATCCTTCAAATCTCAAGTCCTCTATTTCATTGTCTACGTCACCCGCTACCTCGACATCTTCACCACCTTCAACAAAAGCGCCTACAACACCATCTTCAAGATCATGTTCCTCGGGTCCTCCGGCTACACCATCTACCTCATGGCCGCATCCTACAAGCCCACACACGACACCGTGCAGGACACGTTACAGGTGCAATATCTATTGTTAGGCTCCTTCCTGCTCGCCGTGCTGTTACCATACGAATACTCCTTCTCCGAAATCATGTGGGCATTTAGCATCTGGTTGGAGTCCGTAGCCATTCTCCCCCAATTATTCATGTTACAAAGAACAGGCGAGGCAGAGACCATCACCGCCAACTATCTGTTCGCATTGGGTCTGTACCGCGCATTGTACATCCCCAACTGGATCTGGAGGTACTACACGGAAATCCACCCGGTAACCCACAAGCCCCATTTCGACACGATTGCCGTCATTGCTGGTGTGGTGCAGACGATCCTCTACTCCGATTTCTTTTACGTCTACTATACCAAGGTCATGCAGGGAAAGAAGTTCGCTCTGCCAGTTTGAAGGAACAGGATATAAAAGCTGGATGGGTTGGGTCCAAGGGGTTTGGAAAGCAACAGACACATCCCAGGAGAGGATGATCTGAGCAAGAGACACGAGGAACTTGCAGGGTTTGGGTCAAAATTATTTTGGGGCCGAAGGCTGTCCAAGTGCATGCATGGCTGGCGTTGGCTGGGTTGGACCTCGTTCCAACATCAGGAGTAGACTTGTCTTATTATTGTTTGTAACATTCTTCAGAAAATATCATACAAATCAAATTTCCAAGAGATACCCTCTGTGAAAGTAGAAGTGATCAACCAGTATCGCATCACCTCACCATATATAATTCCAGTATTTTCTACTTGCTTGATTCTTTTGCTACCACAACCCATATATACATTCAGCCAATACGCGCCCCCATGCACAAACAAAATCTCAAAATACAAGCTGCTGTCTATGACCCGTACGCAATCTGTCCCTGTGGATGGTCTGATGAGTATCCCGACGCCATGAAATTGGTTTCGGGATTGTTTTGCTCTTTGGCAGCTGAGCATCTGGCCATGGTTGGTGAACTGTGAAGATGATTAGCGACTCGTGTCCTGGAATCTTGGAATCTGGCAAAACTTACCTTCTTGAAATAACATCGGTGAAATAGAAGTTCTCAATAACCTTTTTGAGTGGCTCCCCACTGGGCTTGTTTCCCTTGTTCTGGTCCACCAATTGAACCTTGCTCAATTGCTTCAAGGCAACTGGTTCAACGACATCGTAGTTGGCTAATGCTGGGCTGATCTCAACCATACGATCCCGAAGCTCCGCAACATCATCATATGGCAATGGCGCACCAAGGAATTCCGAAATAGCTCTGATAATCTTCCAATCTGTTCGGGCAGCACCTGGTAATGAAACTGCTGCACGGGTCATCTGGACTCGACCCTCTGTGTTGATATATGTTCCGGCCTTCTCCGTGTATGCTGCCCCTGGAAGAACAACATCGGCGATCTGAGCACCTCTGTCACCGTGATGTCCTTGGTAAACAACGAAAGCATCCTTAGGAATATCACCTGCCGCAAACTCATCGGCACCGAGAAGCCAGACGAACTTAGGTTTCGTTTCTGCAACGGCAGCCGATGGGGTGGTGAAACCAACCTCATAAGCGCCGGCTCTTGATGCAGCACGTTGGAGGACATTGTAACCATTCCACTCCTCGGTCAGAAAGTTGGCGGCGTGCTTGTCAACAAAGGTACCAACCATTTCGTAGATAGCCTTGGCGTCTGCATGATCAGTGACACCAGATCCAACGATAATCATTGGTTTCTTTGCTGCTGCAAGCTTTTTGCCGAAAGGTCCAGCAAGAGCTTTCTTAAGAGCAGCAGCATCCGTACCAAGATGCTCAAACTCGAAAGTTGACTCCCAAATCTCACCAACGACACCAATCTCAAGATCTGATCTCATCCATTGCTTTCTGATACGTGCGTTAAGTCCCGCAGCTTCGTGACGAGTGTTGCTGCCAACAATGAGAACTGCATCAGCTTGCTCCACACCCCAAATGGTCGAGTTGAATAGATAATTGGATCGAACGTCAATTCCGTGGGCGATTGGCTGACTACCAGATGGTTGATCGAGAGCCAAGTTCTCCGAGCCAAGTTTGTTTGCCAGATCCTTCAACGCCACCATTGATTCCGTCTCGATAAGCTCACCAGCAATAGCCTTAAACTCGTTGCCTTTTGGTGCAAAATCCTTATATGCTGCAGCAATTTCGGTCAATGCCTGTTCCCAAGTTGCAGGGAGGAATTGATCCCCTTTTCGGATGAGAGGAGTGGTAAGTCGTTGTGTCTTTAAACCATCGCAAGCAAATCGAGATTTGTCATTGATCCATTCCTCATTAACGTCGTCGTTGAGTCTTGGGAGAATACGCATAACCTCTAAACCTCTGGAGTCCACCCGGATGTTTGATCCAAGACCGTCAAGAACATCAATAGACTCCGAGTGCTTTAGCTCCCACGGTCTGGCTCGGAATGCGTATGGCTTTGATGTGAGAGCTCCCACAGGGCACAAATCGATGACGTTACCCGACATTTCCGAGACCAGGTTCTTCTCGAGATAAGTTCCAATTTGCATGTCATTTCCTCGTCCCGTTGAACCAAGCTCCGGTGCGCCAGCAACATCGTTGGCAAATCGAATACATCTGGTGCAGTGGATACATCTGTTCATCGAGGTCTTGATTAATGGACCAATGTTCTTGTCCTCGGTTGCTCTCTTTCCTCCAATCTCGTGAAATCGCCCTCTATCGGCACCGTATCTCATCGATTGATCCTGCAAGTCACACTCTCCTCCTTGGTCGCAAATCGGGCAGTCGAGAGGATGGTTGGCCAGCAGAAATTCCATGACTCCTTCTCGGGCCTTGTGTGTGAGGGGCGAATTCGTCTTAACGACCATTCCGGGCTGTACAGGCCATGCACATGATGCTACTGGTTTTGGCGCTCTCTCAACCTCTACTAGACACATACGACAATTTCCCGCAATCATAAGCTTTCTGTATTCTAATCAGTCGGGTGTAGATGTGGCGGATCGCGGGAGTACTCACTCATGATAGCAATATCTAGAAAGTTGTTAGCTGAGAACCACGATATTATACTTGAATACAATACTCGGATAGACGATGATATTGGCTTACCTTGGTATTGTTACACCTGCCTTCTCGCATGCTTGGATCAATGCAGAACCGGCTGTGGCGAAGGTCAGTATATTGTCCACGATCCCTTTCTCTGTTCCACCAACATACCCTCAATTGATACTTGTTTCCCATCTATAGTATTCGTTAGAATTGAACTCTGCTAGCGGCCAGAACTCGATGCGCCTCACCAATGGTTAACTGCACCTCCGCTTGCCTTCTGCTCGAGGTCGCAAAAGTTCTCGAGGCATTACAGGACTGCCGAGCAGTCCGCAGGGCCGAACGTGCCAGAGATTGCCTCAGCATCGTGGGCCTCTCGTCGTGTGAACAGAAATGAAAGAAACGACGCTGTGGGGTGGTGTCGTGGACGGACAATTGGACACTGATGGAGAGGTCTTGAAGCTCTGGGTGCGGGTGCGGGTGCTCTGAGGTTGACTAATATCCACGATTAATGTAAGCGAGGCTAATGTAATGTGAGCAACCTGATTCGTCAGGCGTTGGCGTCAATTAAGGCGCGGCTGCGGCTGCGGCTACGGTGGCGGCTAATCGTTAGCGCGGAAGTGGCGGTCGGGCGGTACAAAAGAGAATTTGCGGGCGTCGCTTTTCGACTCTTTCTTCTCTTCTCCATTTAAATTGTATTGAGCACGCTTTATTGTGGGTGGCCTTGGACACACGCGTGCTTCGGTGCGCGTGTCTGTCACCATCGAGTCCTCCTCTATCTTGTGCTCTAGAGCACGACTTTCGGGTGCTGGAATGGATGCAAATGAGAACAATTACCACTGTTCTATGAATGCGCAACTTACCGCCGGCTCTATATCTCCACGCTATATCTATGTATAGATACATGCACTTATTTAATCCATGGAAGCTTCTTCCCAATGGATGCAGTATTGAATGCTACTCTTCGCAATCATTTGCTTGCTGTTCCTGTTCTGGCGGTACCGGTATTCTGGTGAATATTGGATGTATATTGCTTTTTTCTTCCTCAATATCAACCAGGATACAGACATCCACCCACCACCACCACCCTCACCCTCACCATCTGAGCGACCTCTATAGATCAAAATGCCTCATTTTCAATATGTTCAGTCTGCCTTGCACTTTCTTGTCTCAACTATACCCATATTGCGCTACGGTATCATTACCCGTTGGGGGCGGGTGCGATCAAGGCAATAGTACCAACGATCCTTCGGAGCATATCCTCAAACAGAGAGTATCCCATATCACCATAGCCACAATCATAGTCTCATTTTCGACTCGCTCTTTTTCCAGGTCAAGTACTAAATATGCATCATTTCCATCACCTACATACGTCGTCGTCAGATTCATTGAAAGTAGTCCATTGTGTTCATATGCTTCTTTGGTTGCCTATTGCTTTCTCATACTCTACTATGCAACGTATCGGTACATCGCTCGACTCTGCATTTCTTGCTTACTACACGTGACCGTCCTCCGTTGCGCCGTTGCAAGTGGAGAGGGGATGCCTTAGCTCCGCTCGCTATTCCTGGTTCATGGTGACAACGCCTCTCCAGTATTACAGAGCTGGTTCCTGTGACGTTGAAGGCCACTTATCCAGGATCATTGCTCACTGTCACTAGAAACCAAGTCTGAACCCAAAAGGCATTGAAACATTGTCACCACATGCGCATTCTGTATCCATTGCATGCGTATGGCCAATCAGAAGAGACCTCGCGTACTTGACCCGGTCATCCCAGTTGGATGTGCGAACGCCATGCAGAAAAGAAAGAAGAAGGGGACCCCACGATCCAATACCGGCTGTTCAACATGCAGGTATGTTTGTTGGCCATCCCATATGAATATTCGGCTTCATCCTTAGTCACTGATTACTTTACTTTGCGCCAGGACCAGGAGGTTGAAATGCGGTGAGGAGCGACCGAGATGCAATAGGTGTGCTCGAGCTGGCCTTCAATGTGGCGGCTACGAACATGTCAAATCTGATAATTCACATGGGTTCCACATATTTGCCCTACGGCCAAACGATCCTCCAACCGAATCGGTGCCCACGAACGCCCATAGAAGAATACAAAAGGCGATAGGGGATCGCTTCCTAACAAGTCGGGTTAGAAACCAACCAGTGTGTAAAATATGTTGGTAAATGATCCATGAAACCATCTTTTCTCATATTAAAAAAGGCTAACCCCTGAAAAGGCAGCATGTAAGTTCGAGAGCTTCAGGTGCTTTCATCGAGCTTGATTCAGCATCGAAGTGTTGGAGGTGTGGACGCTACAGTCTTTCCTCAAAATCTCCAAGTCCTACGGAAATCATTCCATTTCGACTCCCTGGAAATGACACCGAGAGAGAAATCTTCCATCACTTCATTGTCGAGACCATCCCAGATTGCAGCGCATATACAAGCACCGTTTTCTGGAATGATATAGTGCTCCCCCATTGCCACGAAGAGGATGTAGCGCGTTCTTGTACTTTGGCTCTGGGTGCTGTTCATCGAGAGGTTGCTATACGTGCCCAGGATCCTCAGGGATATGTGCCGAACCAAAGCTATATGCTGCAATACAATAAAGCACTTACACTCGTCCAGAAATATCTGGCCAAAGAACCAAATCCATGCATGGAGACTGTCATGTCCTGCTGTTCCCTCTTCTATGCCATTGAAATTGCCCGAGGGGACTACGCAGCAGCTCATCGGCATGCAAGAGCAGGGGTTGCAATTCTCCAGGAATGGCATCAAAGGGCCAAGAAGCAATCGAGCTCAAATAAGAATTTTCGCCAACTCGACGAAGTACAGAGACTCATGGAAGACTTCGCTGGATTGGATGTGTCGATGAGTTTCAGCACCAATTTTACCGAGGGACATTTTGTCTTGACGACAGCCGAAGAACGAGCCGGTGAGGTCCCACTGTGGCCAATAACATACAGTGGAGTGGATGAGGCCTGGGTGAAATGCAATAAGTTGATGAATTGGGGGTGTCATTTGCTTGGCACTTTGTTGAGATCTCAAGCCAGGTCCATAAATGAGCTTCCTCCAAATTTGTTCATTGAGATGCAAATTTTGCGCGATGAAGTGGTTCGCTGCAATCCTCTATTCTTGTCTACAATAGAGATGGAAAACTCAAGGGCGGCCGCGTCTAGTACTGCGACTGGGTGTGTGTCAAGGGCATATATCCTGAACATCTCATTCCAGTCCTTCGAGCTAGTCTTTCGAACGTCCATCTCTGGCTTTCTTCCTGGCATGTCTGATGCCGATATGTGCAAACAGTCGGAGAGCATCATAGCCATGGTTTCGGTTATGACGAATGGTTTGGAGTCAGGGAAAAATGTCATTTTGAAAATGACACCGTTTCTGTTCTTGGAGACTGCTGTTGGAGCTCTTAGTCTTGTTCGTATGGTGTGCAAAGATGAGGTGGTGCGCCAAAAGGCTCTTGGGCTGTTGGATATATGGTCGGCCAGGGGAAGTGATCTAATTGGAGAGGGAACCGATGCTGTGATCGAAGCGGCAAAGGAGGTTACAAGGCCTGAAACGTTTGGAGGTAGAGCATCGTCGAGCCTTCCAAAGACGCAGAGCATTGATGAAGATTCTGCGGAGATCTTTCAGCAAGATACAGGAAACATACCTACCCAGTATTTGAAAATTCTATAGGTATTGAATGGTGATGTGGGGAGCTTGAATAACGAGAAGGGAGCCTCCAGGATGTTTCCGTATGATCCCTCAGGTTTTCACAACACCGAAGAAAAAGCTACAACTCAAACCATGACTAGTGAGCGCGTATCACCAATTTCACCAGCAGTGTGGGGGGTGTCACAATAGCGGCCGGTGCCAAATCCTTCGCTCTCAGCCACGATTTGTATACTGGCCAACGATCAAATGGAAACGCTGCTCATGTTCCCGCAATGGTGATCGTCTTGAAGCAGGATGTGGTCTAGCATCGCTGATCATGTAGGCTACAGGGCTCTGGCGTCATGCCGGGCCTTACCTGCTGGAGTAATCCTGTATAGGACGATTCGCACAGTTGTAAATATATCTACATTTCTTCAATTTAAGGGGCCATACTTTTCATGTTACCAGAGCCGCCAGACCGTTTTATTGGGAAAAGGTTTGCTCATAAAAATACGCCATGTCTCTTCGACACTAGAAAGCTGAGTCTAGTAGGCTCGCTTAGCCCTCACTTGCAACTTTGATTACACCCCTAGCATCAGTGGCACATCAGCCGTCATTTGAGGTATTTTACATTCTATAAGAATGGCATCAGTCATGATGGAACGCTACCCTCCGTATCAACTATCATGTAGGATCTCGATTTGTGGAACTTCCTTCGACGTGGGCCCGGTCTCAAGTACACTCTTTAACTCTGGCATAGGTGCGAAAAGAGAAGAACGGTCATCTGCCTAGGGTCCAGCCACTGAGAGATGATGTGAAGAATACAAAACTCAGGTTCGTTGAAGGAAACGCATTTGTTGGCACTTAGACGTGGGAAAACAGGACTGAGAGATTTCAGTCGTGCTAATGAAGAGGAGAACACTACATATTCTATGTTGCTATAATTAAACCAGGTTACCATATTTTACTCTTGTAGCTCTCCGCTGTTTATTGGAGTCTCATATTGCCAAAAATAATTCGTGAAACGAGTCCTTATTAACCACCAAATATTTCCTACCAAGAACTACATCGATAGGTAAATGGACACCATATACACGTGAAACACAATTTGCAATACCACCCTACAGAAGGTATCGGCTTAAGAAATATATCTTTGTCATTTTGATGGGTATATGGAAGATTGATCTTCAAATTAATCGATTTTATTTCCGTGGCATTGTATGAAACATGTCGAGACTTATCCGGGGTTTGTAAACATGGTATAAAAATATCATCACGGTGATATTCTTGGAACAAGCATTTCAATCTATCCTTGCGATTTATTTGTCTGAATGAAAAAGGGAAATGATAGGGTTCCGAACTTCGATACCAGCTCGAAGAAAATGAAGTGAGCGATTTCCAGATCGGCCGCGTTGTTGTTTCGTACATTAGCTGATGTTTTCCTTAATGAAAGATTGCCTAGCTTGTTAATACTTTGATGAGATGATGAACCAGGACTCCCAAATAAGGGGACAGGGTGGCAAATATAACCAGATGGGCGAAATGAGTTGCCTTTGATCAAAGCTGTGTACAAGGAATGAATGGCATTCAGTATATCCCAGTAGAGCTCTGACCTGCAAGGTTGCCAGTAGTGATTAGCTTCAAGTGATATTTTAAGTCGGAAACAATAACAAATAAATTGTACTAACCCTTCTCGATCTTGCCGAGAACTGTCGCCGCCTCAGCAATGGTAGCGTGACATTTGATGAAGTCCGGGGCACCAGCAAAAGCGAAATCATCCGGGATCCCGGCCAAGTGTATTTGTAGAGCTTGAATCTGGCGCACAAGGGTTTGCCGTTCTCGGTCAACTCTTTCGATTGAATCTGGTCCGAACATAGAGCGGAATGTTTCATTCAAGTCAGAATCACCGTTCCATTGGTGGAGAGCACGTCGAATCAAAAATGATTGTACACTTCTGCTCCACTCATTCTCAGCTCCAAGAGGGTATTCCAAGCGAAGGATAACTCTTTCAACGTTGTTTTTGGTTCCTGGATCCGAGGATGCGTAAGTATCAGCAAGGGCCCATGGTAAACCAGGTTGTGAATTTGGTGTTCTCGCTGCGGATATTGGAGGAGCTTTGGCGGGGGAGGGGGTATCAGGGTTGGTTTTCTGGTAGATCTCGGAGTTATTCAAGGCTTTCTCAGCAAGGTGCTTAGCACCTCCACATTGCCCTCCATCGACCAATTGGAGTCGAACACTGATGTTGCTCTCGCTCATTACTTTCAATAGAGATTTGTGAATGTTTATTATCAAGCTTTCCCATTGGCTGTCAGAGTCCATGTTCCAATGCCAAACATCGTCAGTAAGTGTTTTATATGTGTTAGGCCCAGATATTCGGATGACAACATTCTGAATTGGCACAGCTGTTTTGGGCCGCAAATTTTCATCCGTAATGTTTAGGAGGACATTCGATATACCTCTGGCAAGAGCAGAACCGCTACTCGTACCGTTCGGGCTGCAGTGGGAGAGATTGTAAGGTGAGTTTCGTCCATAAAAGATGCCCCATGATGACACCACTGGAATATATTTCTTCTGGCCTCCCTTGGTAGCTGATGTAACCTGGACTAAAAGTTGGTTTGTAGGAACCACTTCATCACTGCCTTCGTATTGAAGGGTGGCGAGTCCCGTCGCTGGGTTGAATTTTGCGGAGAGCTTCTGCTTGATGCCTGCGTCCGGCTTGAATATTCTGCTAGCAACCAATTCCGGTGATGGTGGCGGCGGTCGGTGCTTTTTGCCCATGATGAGTTGTTTTCTAGTAAGTTTATATTGTTACGCTTTTCGTGCCTCAGTTTCGATGTATCTTTTGTTGGTAGGTACTGAATAGGACCAAGACCTGGAGTTGAGACTCGGCCAGGGAATCTGGTAGCGAATGGGCTAGTCGAAGTGTTTAAAGCTCGAGGATTGAGGTAAATTCGAAGTTGGAAGGCTCTTTCTTTGCTGAAGGACAGGAAAGGAAATGGTAATAGTTTCTTGTTGGCGCTGTCCGCGTGCTTGTAGATTCTTGAAGCAAACTTGAGGGTGCAGTACTTGAGTATGTAACGTCAAGAGTTGGAGGATGAGCCGGAAGATGTTCTCAGGGTGTTTTTGGAGAGGTAAAAAATGGGTTGATCCAGGTATTACAGGTGAGAAGGCGCAGCGCCAGACAGGTTGTCTAGTATCTTTTCCGCTAGCGTCATTCTGTAATCCCAACCAGCTTCTGTCTATCGGTTTTGCCACTTTATTCACTACATTAATGTGTTTTCCCTTTCAGCTTTCAAGGCCTATCAAGCTGTAGGTTATGAGACATTTTGTATATTTCCTTATCTTTCAACAGGTTCTGGTGTATCAATTTGCTGCTGTTCCATGCTAGGACTTTACTTCAGATACCTGTGAGGATAAAGTGAACAAAAGTCCACTCGAAATATTTTGGAACGCAGCCAGGTCGTACCCAGTTGCTGGAGTCTGGGATCCCGTAGTGTCCAAGTTTGCTTAACCAATACCTGCCATTTATCGAAGGATCCGAATCCGGCGGAGATCAATTGATTTGGCAAAGCTAAAAGGAGGGAGTTGGGGATATTCACCACCGACACGGGGACGAATTAGCTATGTAGTTTGAGAGTATCTAGGACAAAAATGTGTTTTTTAATTGAAGAACTCCCCATAAGCCTGTTTTCAAACAGAGCGACTCGTTAGATTAAGCCTAAAAAGGGACCAAATAACCCTGACGACGCCGTCACTTCATACCTCTGAAGGTCCTCCACACTCAACTAAACTGTATACCTCCATCAATAATCAAAGTTTGTCCTGTCATGTAATCGCTATCCGGACCAGCCAAATAGGAAACACATTTCGCCACATCATCCGGTACACTCAATCTACCCAACGCAATCTTTTCGCCAAACTGCTTGATCGTCTCTCCTTTCTGAGCGCCAAGCTTTTCACCTAGTTTTTCATCTAACATCTCCCACATCGGCGTGCCCACGATACCAGGCGCGTATCCATTGACAGTAATTTTGTGTTCAGCAAGTTCCATTGCAAACCCTTGGGTGAAACCTCGAACTGCCCACTTGGATGCTGAATAATGGGTCATATTCACGAATGGTCGAAAGGCTACTATGCTGTTGTAGAAAACAATATACGATCAGAGAAGATAACGAGCGAGAAATATCGAGGGGAGAAGGCCTACCTTGCACAACCGAGTATTTTCCCTCCATTTCCCTGCTTTATCATTTGTTTTGCGGCAACACTGTAGCAGTTGAATACTCCGTAGACATTGATCTCAAACATATGGCTCACGTCCTCCTCTGTCATCTCAAGAACTGATTTGACTTGACTGATGCCTGCATTGGCGACCATGGTGTTTAGAGGACCAAGGTTTTGCACAGAGGCTTCGACGAGGGCCTCTACATCGGAACGCTTTGATACGTCCGCTGTGTGTCCGTATGATTTTCTGCCGAGAGCTTGAATTTCCTTGACAGTCTGGAAGTTATATGAGTATATTGGAAGATCATACACAATGAAATTTGAGGATATAGGCAAAAATACCTCATCGATTCCAGCTTGATTGAGTGATAGATCATTGATACAAATATCGTAACCATCCTTAGCAAGTCGGAGCGCAATTGCCTTTCCTCTAAATATGCCTTTAGCGAGTTACAGAAGGTTCGATGTTCTGATCTCTTACATTCCTCTTGCAGCTCCAGTGACAATCGCAGTCCGCTTTCCTTGGTTTTCGGTGACCGCACTGCTGCTGGATGTTTCAGTGCTTGCCATATTGCTCATGTGTTGTTCGTAATTTTCTTGTGATTTTACTGTACTTGATGGAAGTTCCTGAGAGCAATAAAGTTCGAAGCTGGTTCCAACAAACAAGATGACATTTATAAGGAGGGGAAGATGCAACCCCGCAGTTGGTATGCAGGTAGCATGTGCTGTCCCACGTTCCACGTTCCACAGCATTCATGTCTCAATGTTGCGTGGTATATTTCCATCGGTTTCCTCCCACCCGGTAGTAGCCGGTTCACCCTGCCCTACCTCTCTCGCCTCCGGAAGAGGGGAGCCAACTATCAATTGTTCGCGAGAGGGTTTTAGGGGATCTGAAGATTTCTTTAACTTTACGCGCCTCGGAATAAAATCATTACAAGGTCTATAACGGAAACAATGATCTTCTAGGGATCGAAAGTTTTCCAATTAAAGCTTAACGTATCTACTTTCTTTCGCATATTCATTGTAACATCATGTGATCAGAAAGATATGGTGCCACTTCTCATGCCACTTTTTATGCCCTTCTTTGCCAGTTCTATGCCATTTTTGACACCACTTCGGATGCCACTTGTATCGCCGCTTCTGATCTCAATTAATTCACTTATGGATGAAATGGTAAAAAGGCGTTGGTACAGGAAGGAAACACCAATAGTGATGTCACATTTTATCAAGGAACAATGTTCCAGCTTTGGACTTAGAATTTTACAACGTGTAGTGTCAGATCGTCGCTACAATATTAAGTATTCATAGATCTAAGTCGATCGCCTTTCGGTTTTATAACAACTAGGTGGTGCTCAGGAAATTTTCCTACCGTCATTCAATTCCTAAGCGTTTGTTTAGATGGTGCGAAACCACAGATGAAGCGAGCATTTAAATCAGAATAGCACGTGATTGGTACGACAACGCTGAGAAATTCATCCCAACACCAACGGGTCTTGTAAGAACACGTTTTCAAGTTCAAAGGAACATCATTTTGAAAACCACGTCTCAGCGATGGAACAGGGACAATGACATACCATCTCTCTTTCACAAAAGGTGGCGCTAACCCTCCGCTATAGTAGCTAACCATGAATTTCGCTCAAAAGATCCGGAGAAGTATTGATATGGAAATGAAATGAGCGACGAGAACTACAGTCAATGGCTAGTGTCATATCATGCCATATCTCCCCAATTCAATTTCCCGGATAAAGATATAATGCTGCAAAGAATTGGGGATATCCTAGTCTGTTGTATTGTCGAATCTGGTCACTTCTATTGGCGAGTTTAAGAAGACGCAGAATTTTCTAGACAGTTTTATCCTAATAACTGTTATTGAGGTGGAAGCAAGAAGGGAATTTGAGTATATGAGATCGAAAGTCGGAATCCCCTTCCGTGGAATACATAGGAGATGAATTAAAATATCCCAGGGCATAAACATATCAGGTATAGAAATCAGGTGGATGCCGATTAGCGACATGCAACCACACAGTATTAATAAGCTGACCATTCTAGGCACCCATAAAACACGACTGGAAGCCACCCGCTTACAGCAAACAGCAGCGGAAGATGTGGCGGAATATTCAATCCGACACCCGACATCATTCGTGACACATGAGTTCAAATCTGGTAAATCCATAGATTCCCCATCTATTTTTGGCTTTACCCACAGCTCTTCCACTTCGGGATTTACCCATACTCTTCAATCTATATTCTCATCTCTGTCAATCAAGAAGTATATTATCTGCAGACCCAAGAAAGCGAGTTCTTTGGTAGGACCGGGACAAATTGGTGTTGCCTAGTAGCTGGGGTTGTGATATAACTGCTTGGAGCCGAGCTGAGAAGCTTCTGAGTCTCGAATTCCGAAGAATACAGGACTCTGAACCATCAAGATGTTTTCAAATTTCTTTCCTGGGATCTTAGTGGTACTCACCACAGTACTGGGCGTCACAGCGCAAAATGTCAGCGGCGTGGTTCTTCGAGGAGTCTCACATGGTGGTCAAGCATGTCCGCAGGGGAGCACGGATTTCACACTGAGTGTTGACAAAAAAAGGTATTTCTCACCATATCCCCCCTCTCTATTCTCGTTTTACCTCAAACTTACGAGAATCTATCAGCATCACGGCAAAGTACACAGCTTTCACGTTGTCCAGCACGAACTCGTATTTCCAACGCAAGAACTGCCAGATAAACGTCGATATTGCGTATCCGGCTGGTCTTCAGTATGCCGTTTCTGACACCACCTTTTCGGATTCGGTGAACTTTGAGAAGGGGGCTAGTGCACAACATAGGATACTGTATTATTTCTCCGGGAGTGAGTTGACTTCTCTTTTGCTTCCAAGGCTCCGCTCGTTCAGAGTGGACCCGTCCTTTTCACGGCATCAAGATTAACCAAAGATGTCAGGTCCCGATCAAACCTCCCTTCAACATTCTTACAACGGACCTCTACATGGGGAGTTCAGTAATACAGAGGTCTCAGCGACCGGTGATCAGATATGGTCGCCATGTGGGGGCAGCTTGCCTTTGAATATCAATAATGCTGTTGTATTGAGGGGGTCAGGACCGGGAAAGATTGATGTGAGAAGTGTGAGTAGTGGGCTCGTTTGGAGGATTTGCTAGTTGTTTGTTCCAAATGAAGAGGAGGAGCATCGTTTGATTTACCGTCTTTGGAAGGTCTCAATTGCCAATCAATGTTTACGGCTCTTCGTTTCCTTCGAATATTGAGGGATGTTGGGTTGATATGCTCGTTGAGATCACAACTGGCAATATTAGGTCTCCTTGGAAACACCGACTTTTCTTCATCCAGGAAAAGAATTGCAGAGAAGAATTGTAAGTAAGCCATTGAAGTATCACATGCATACATATCATTGGATATGTTCCTGAGTCGTGATGGATGACTTTGCTGCACCTAGGTAGGTTTTCGGGGGGGAGGGAAGAAATCCGGGGAATGACCCCGCTTCATGATAGGTGCGCCTTGATGCAACTCCGGAAGTTATGATACTGTACTGTATGACCATTTAGGGTTTGAACGACAATCTCTCAAGCCAATTCCGAGAAGGTGTATTCATCAAGTACGTGATACTCCGTACTTCACCTGAGAATAGTCGCTTTATCCTCCAAAATAGGAAGTCAGCTTAGGCTTAGGCTTAGTACCCTCGGGAAACTTCCCCTACCGGTACTCGTACCGGGACGGAAATTCACGCTCACCACCACCACCACCCTTTCCACCACTACCATCTCTCAACGACAGCCCCAAAGTTGTGCGGCGCCATTCAATGCAACCTTCCGCGGCCCCTAAACTGCTAAAGGTTAAGGTAAAGGGAAGGGAGTCATCCCCGCAATCATGAATCCCCCCATTCTCGGGACCATGGGGTCGAGAGTAAGAGTGTGCCATCGCCATCCTTATTCGGCCTTTGTCTCGAGCGGTAAGTCTCTATATTTCTTTCAAGAGCTCAGTCCAAATATTCGCCGGTTCTATACTCCAAACCCATCTACGCGCCCCAGCTTGGTTAGAATTTGTCTCCGGCATATTAGAAGAACCCCCTCGCAGTATCGCAGCTTATCAGACATGGCGAAGCGAAAGCTGGAAGCCATTGATGCCCCACAGGTCGTCAATGGTGCCAAAAAGGCCAATGTATGGTCTTCTCCCGGGACCGCAGCGTCTGATTTCCGAAGTAAGTTTCTCCAATTCAATGGTAGAGACGTTGCTAACAATCTCCAGGCGATGTCGTAACTACACCCACCGCCTCCATGCTACAAGCCATAACAAACACCACCCTCCTGGACGATGTCTTCGCCGAAGATCCTACCACGAATGACCTCGAAAAATATCTTGCCCAACGCGCCAACCATGAAGCTGCTCTATTCGTGCTCTCCGGCACCATGGGGAACCAGCTCGCCATCCGATCCCACCTCTTCCAACCACCACATTCTGTGCTCTGCGATTATCGCGCACATATACTCGAATGGGAGGCCGGAGGAGTGGCAAGTCTGTCTGGGGCTCTGGTCAAGGGCGTTGTGCCGGAGAACAAAGTGTACTTGACACTCGAAGATATTAAAAAGAACGTTATTCTCGGGGACGAGATACACGGCGCGCCTACACGGGTCATCTCACTCGAGAATACACTCGGTGGGACAGTCATGCCATTGGAAGAAGTCAGGAAAATTTCTGCTTTTGCAAAGGAGCACGATATAAGACTTCATCTTGACGGAGCTAGGCTATGGGAAGCTGTTGTCTCGGGTGCTGGTTCCTTGCCGGACTACTGTCGAGAGTTTGACAGTGTAAGTCTTTGTTTCTCAAAGGGACTGGGAGCTCCCATTGGAAGTGTCCTTGTAGGAGCCCAGAAATTTATCAAGCATGCGAGGTGGGTACGAAAGAGCATTGGTGGTGGGACAAGACAACCTGGTGTTCTCACCGCCGCAGCACGAGTAGCCGTTGATGAGACATTCGGAAAGGACGACAATGGCAAAGATGGATTACTGGAAAAGAGCCATGTCACGGCCAAGAGGATCGCGAAAAATTGGACAGATATGGGGGGGAAATTGTCTCAACCCACGGAAACGAACATGGTCTGGCCAGATCTAGATGACGTCCATTGTTCTGGAGACGAATTCGTGGAACTGGGAAAGGAACATGGGCTACGGCTTCTTGCTGGAGGCCGTTTGGTTGTCCATTATCAGATTAGTGATGAGGCTGTTGATAAGTTGGAGCTTGTTATGAAAGAGATTATGAAGAAGAGAGGCCAGAATGGATCTGCTAAGAGGCAAAAGGTAGGTGAGAGAGAATATAAGTGATTGGGTATGAATCGCGAGTTTTGTATAGAGCAAGAGGTATATATCATTTCACATGCTACACTACCGTTCTTCTAACGATGCACAATTCCCTGGCTTTGGCATGTTGTATATAGGTCTTGGTCTGAATCTCTGGTCAATTGAGTCGATGAAGGCCCTGAGGAATGTTGGAAGGATTATGGATGGAGAGATGGTCTCAAAGAACTGGTCCAGTAGGGCCCTATTTGGCAAGTGTGACTTCCGTACCTTAGGTTGGATCCAGTAGAGGCGTGCAGGTTAATGCTCTCGAGCTGGACAGGGGTGGAGATGGAGGTGGAGGTGGGGGTGGGGTTCGTGCCTTCTCATTTCCACGCTTTCTCGCTCTTGGCATGACAGCGCGAGCTCATCTGCACCATTGAGGGGAAAGCCACGCCACGACGTTACTCTACTCTTGACTATCATACCGCCCGTGATTGTTTAGAGAGGAAGGGGTCAAGTACTTGAAAGAGAAGGAGCGACGTTGAGTCTGAGTCCCGGCTTGTGACTCCCATCAATCACTGACGGAGAAGTGACCTGGAACCTTTAAGCTCATTCTGGGTCGAACAGTCAGAGGTATAGGCAGGAACGAGCAGAGGACATCTCCTACCTATAGCCTATAGCCTAGTACTGACCGTGTGTGGACTGCTTGCCAGGACATCATCAATTTGACAAGGGAAGGAACAACTTCGATACTTTTGCTGAGAAGGCTAGCCGGATAGGCAAGTTCAAAGTAAGGAAGGGACTCCCTAATTTAGAGCTCGAGACCAGGCGAGACTTGAGTTTGCATTGGTAGTCGTGCTTTCCCCCTCCCCCTCTCGGGGGGCTAGATTAGTCATCTCAACCTCTTGATTCTTACTTATATCTTCATCCCCTGTGCGTCTGTACGTGTTGTCTATGCTTGTAGTCTTCACCAAGGTTCGCATCAGTGGCAAAGTATGCTGGGAATGCCTAAAGTCAGCTCGACTTCTCACTCGTTATTGAATCGCTCTTAGAATTCTACTTCCTAGTCATGTCTAGTGATTCAACTCGGTTACTCCTCTTATCTAATGGCGATTACATTCACAATTCCCGCAGCCTAGAACGTTCATACGCACTCAGAGGCACATCTATAAAAGCACTTGCTCTCTCAGAGCTTCCTTCCCTAATTCTTCACATCTTTAACCACCGGCATTGTCCAATCAAGCATCTCAAATCTTAACATACACACTACCCATAACCAAGCAATAAATAAAACTCGAAGACACCTTACGTCTTTAAACGCTTCAAAACAAAAAATCTTGTAATATATTCTCTGCCTCTCGCGCTTAGCACTATCAAAAACAAGAATGTCCTCACCCACTTCCAGCCCAACATCAACCTGCTCTTCGCCATCCAATCTCCCATCGACTTCTGCAAGCACCCAGCCAAGCCCAGTCGGAGAAAAGGGAAAATACGTCCCCCCTCAACTGAGAAAAGACTGGAGCCCCAACAAATATGGTGATGATGGCAAATACATGGATCCTAAACCCAAGGATATCGACTTGAAACTTGCCAGAGTCGATTACGGTCCCGGATGGCACCGTGAACGTGCTGCTTATACACCCGTCCCATACCCACAAAATCAGAATCAAAATCAATATCTACGGGTTCCACACGGCGGAGATGCGAGATATGGAGTTTTAAGAGACCTGGAGATACCCTTCTACGCGCCCTTGGAACACCCGGATGCCAACGAGTATGGCTTGGCTGAGAAACCACCAATGTATACACCTCTTGGTTACCTTGATCCCAAGCAGGCTGGAAATGGAAATGGCATGTTTGGGGCAAGAGAAGTTCTTTATAATCTCTCGCCAATTACAAGTGAGGGAGACAAGTGTGAATATGGTGGTGATTTCACCTGTTTTGCAAGCACTGGAAAAGAAAATTCGAGGATGCTTAAGTTTGGTAATGTTGAGACTTGCCCCCCTGGCTACGAAAATGGAGCGAGGGGTCCTGGTGGTGATTTTGGATATGTTGGAAAGGAACTCAAGGAGGGAATCCTTGCAGTTGATGTTGGTTTCATGGATTGCCACCCAACGAAGCGTTGAGTTTTAGGATCCCTGACATGGTGAAAACTTGGTTGTGCGTGTTGGGAGTGAAGTATGTTTGGTTGTTGGTGACATCTGGAAAATTGTTCTCAGGAAAGGTTGGGCGTATGGTCATGGCTGCTATTGGAAATCAAGGACTTGTGGATTTAAAACAAAATGATCGTATTCTGCTTGGCAGGGCATGAGCGAAGTCACCGTTAGGTTGTCAGGAAAATAATAATTTGGTGCACTTATAGGTCTAATAATGTTTTGGAGAAAAGGGTAGAATGATCTGAAAATCGAATTTTCTCTGCTTTATTCAAGGTTATCTGAGTGTATATCATATAGGGGGTGTTGTCGCTTCCCAGCAACTTGGTTGTCACTAGAGGCTTTTCACCCTTTCTGGTGTTCTAGTGCTCTGGAACAGGGTCCAGCAAAGTGTGTGAGCTCCAAATTGAACGAATGCGAGAAAAACTTTGGTTGCCTTCCTTTCGATTTAGAAAAGTAAACACATTCTTTTAGCGAGAATCTAGTTCTGCTTCCCAGTGCCTCCAGTGCTTCCAATGGAGGACACAACCATATTGTACCATGCTTCAGTCAAAAAAAAAAGGCTCAATAAGACCACAGACAGGCGTGGCAGGGTACAAAAAGGCTGAGTAGGCTTATGTAAAAGAAAACCAGGGGGTCGGTTTGTTTTGCGCTAAAGTTAACCGAAAACCTTAAATGTCACGTCTACCAAACGATTTCGCACACAAAGAACAATTTATTTGACCATGCGCACTTTTCACCACAGCATACTTCCGACACAACGCCCATGAATCCCCTGAAATCTCTTGGAGTATGGTTTCTCAAAATCGGTTTGGAATTGAGTGTGCACAACATGGTTTGCCGGATTGGGTTGACAGGGTTTCCGTACCTCCTTCCTCTGACGGCCATTTTGCGAAAGCAGAAAGCTTCGCGCCTGCAGCGACACAGCGAGAAGAGTACTGTGGTCTACATTTGCAACATGGAGACCACAACCATGATTGCGACGGGACCAGAGGTCCTCTTAGAGGGCCCAGTCAAGGTAAGCTGCCCTAGACATTCTCAGATCAGACAATTCTGATAGCTCACGCAGTTGACAACCTGGCATCCGTGCCTTGAATTGAGCGACGACGACAATGGCAAGACTCGGTGGCGTATCGTGATGCGCACCGAGGACGAGAGAGACGGGACCTTTCTCGTTCTGCGAGAATTGTCCAACGAGTCCACGAGGACACTTTATGTGATCCCACCACCAGTCCCGCAGCAGCCCAGAAATCGACGAGAGCAGAAGCAGGCAAACCATGTCGCGTATTGGAAAAGCCGACAAATTTTCATCACCATCCGGCTCGAAGGCCACCGCTGTTGCTTCCCTTCCGTATTCACGCACAAGCCCATCGATTTCGCCGAGATGGCAAGAAAGTCCCCCCAGCAGCCATTTTCGTCGGCCTTCAACCTGTTTCTTGGTGACGACCAGCCCGAAACTGTTAGTGTCGCGATTGCGCTGCACAAAGCGTTCCTCAAGTTCATCGCAAAGAAATTACTCAACGGCCCCAAGGCAAACCTTCGAAGCCGATCTACCCACGTCACGAAGGGACTCGACCGGGGAACTAGCAATGACGACCAAGCTATTATCGAGACCAGCGACTGGGAGTGGGGACGCGTAGTTGACACAAGTATGAACGGTATCAAAACTCACCATGTACCCAGAAACTGGACGGAGGAAATGTTCGACAGAGATTCGTCTTACCGCCGATACCGGGTGTTTCGTATGAGCAACCTTCGACACTCTTGGAGCTATGAGGATGAAGGAGAGCAGGAAGCAGAGGAGAATGTGGCTGGGGTCGAGGAGGTGACGTACCGGATGGAGGAGCTTATGGATGATGGAGAAGTAATCACTCATTGGGACATCGAGGAACCGTGGTGGTTGGAAGAAATGACAGACGATACTACGGAATGAGCCTTTTGGACTGGAATGGAGCAGAATGGGTGGAATTGTCGGACTATTACCTTGAAGTTGAACCCGTTTCCATCGGTGGAGAACCTATGATATAATGCCAGTCACGATTCCCTTCTTGCTCTGATAAAAATGCATCAATTGTGACACAATAGCGTTGATTCCTGCCTCTACTTTCTCTCCCACATCGTAAACTGATAGCGTCAAAGACGAAGCCGGTAATGTATGTATGGCAAACGCATATTGACCCAAATCTAGAGTGCCCATTACCCTTCTCCCAAATAGGTATGAACCCAAATTTTGCTACTTAGGTAGCTGAGGCCACTGCCATCGGGCTCTAGTTGAGAAGCTTCCTGCGATATGATTGTGATGCGATTCTGTTCCCTATTGCCCTCTTCGCCACATTCGACCTTGGGTGAAATGATCTATCTGAAGCTTTTATTGGACACAGCGACGCCAATCTTTGAAAAATAGAATGAAAGCTCGGTGCTTCTGTCCTTCCAAGTTTGAGTGTACTGACTGAATGATGCTCAAAGACAAGAACCTTATGGAAGTTTACACATGTAGAAGTCTAGAATATCTGCTCCCAATGGTGGTGAATGTCTTTTACCCTACTGAGGTACCTAACTGCCTTCATATTCACCGCTCCCAAAACTTTCCACCTGTCGTATATGCCCCTAATCTACCGGAAGCTTCTCCAGTATCCGGAGGAGGATGAAATCCCTGAGAATTCATGATTGGATGCACTAGCTGCTCCGGTGTAACCAAGTAAAATGCTTGTTTTGTATCCATACGTAGAATCCGATGATTGAAAATGTTGAGACGAATGCGGTGCAGTCGTATTAGATCTCTTGAACAACAGTTCAAGGAAGTCTTCTCATTTCCACCGCGAAAATATTCTTCATTAGCAAGACTTACGCCAACTACTGCTTGACGGATGATTTTTAGTATTGAAAATCCACCGTTACACCAAATGACATCAGCAAAGTCTCTGGTATACTACGATACAGTATGCTAATCATTATAGTTAAGTTATCTGAGCTTCTTTTCCAAACTCCTCTGGAGAGACTGTTATAATGGCCACTTGGTTGGCACAAGTGCAAGTCAATCTATCAAGCACTCCAACTATTCGCCACGAAGGAACTGGATACCACAGAAAATACGAAATCATATTCACTATCATGAAGTATTATATTACCTGAGCTAACCTTATCTAGAGACAAGCTTTCTGGTTCCCCCACAAACTCCACACACTCCTACCAAGCCCTTGCATTTTACAAAAGAACCTCAAACACATTGTAACCACCAACTCATCAGCTCTGAATCAACAAAGGAGATTCTACTATGAAGACACAAAAAAGTAAGACATTGAGGACTATTTGGTGAAGCGCGTTTGCTTATTCAACTTTGTATGTACAGATCCTGACCACACAACGTGGTATTTGAAGCAGGAGGCAGTTCATTATGGGAATCTCCTCATTGGGGATGATGTAGGTGATGGATTTTAGGAGACAAAGGCGGCACCTCCTCTCTTAATACCCTCTTCTCCACTATCGCCAACTCAACTGGTCTCACCTTTGTTGTCTCCCAAAGGAGATGTCTCCTCACCTGTCTCACCAATCTCAATCTTGCCTATCTCGCTTATCTCACCTGTCTTGCCTGCCCCTCTTTCCACCCCTCCTCCATCTCCAACCCTGACCGATTTTCACCCCACCACCTACAAGCAAGAAATCATACAAATGGCTTCCACAGAATTTGCGATCAAAGGGAATGAGGCGGCGACAGACGTTTCTACGAGTTCCACAGAGACGACCGCTAGCGCTAGTTCTGAACTTGCATTGTTTGACTCTTCTCCGTCCAACGAGGAAAACGACGAGGCGTATGCCGATATTCCGTTGGATGAGCTCTTGCAGATTGAGAACACGGTCAATGTTGCAGCCACGACCGACGGGGTTGACGACACCGAGGATACCCATATCTCTCATAATTCAGTACATTCTTTAAGACAGGAACCTGGTGGGTCTTCTTCAATAAGTCAGACTCCAACCGACCTGACAGAAGTTAAAGACACTAAAACTTACGCAATTGTAGCATCTACTGGACAAACCGAAAACACAAGCGAGGATGCAAACGAAGCTTTAGACGAAGAATACGACTCCGAGGACTCAGAGACAACGACAGAGGAAACAGAGGAAAAATGTCGTGCGGAAGAGCTGGATAGAGAGTATACTGAGATGGTTATGGCGGGTTTCAAATACAGAGCCGCCATGGTCACTGAGGGCGAGCTGAAATTTTTCAAGATTCCATCACTTGCGCAGTATAGAGCCAAAAGATTCTCTCCCTTGAGAATCTGCTGGGTACTTCCATCAAGCAGCGACGATACGTATGATAGCGACGACGAGACAACTAGTGAGGAATGGGACGAGATGGACATGGAGGAGGAGGTCGAACTGGGTCACTTTCCGGAACTTTAGCACAATTGTCACGCGTTTTCGCAATTTTGCTATTGGAACATCTTGAAATGGGACGGTAGTGATGATATGAAGATGCGCTTGAGCTGGAGCACATACGGACATTAGTCAGCTCACGTATCTGCATGGGGGGTATTGTGGGGAGGAATTCGTTTGTTTCTGAGGACGTCTAATGGGAGGGTCAGCACATCCATGATTGCACTCATCAAATAGAGCAATTCATTCTCATAAGAAAGCATCACTGAAACGTGCGAGGAATGGACTTTTATTCTCAAAAGTGTAAGGTAGGATCCCTGTGAGCATCTTCTGATTGGCCATGCAACGTAGTTTACCTCCACTGAAGAGCAGGCTTTTCTTGCCATTGTTAGTGATCCAAGATTAAGAAGGCAGCCAATAAAACAGCAACGTTACCCTTATACTGGCTATCATACCCATAATCAAAATGCTTATCAAACAAGTTCTTGGGCATTTGGTACGAAGCCCTAAGATTTTTCCCATCTGGCCAGTTTCTTGACAAATTAAATGCCATACTTATAGTGAGAAGCGATTGTGGCTTTACTTACCATGAGCTTGACAAGAGACCGGAAATTTCGTTGGTGTGTGCTAGAATAATTGCGAACTAGAAAACCAGTGCCTTGTAACAGGACCATCACGTGCTCATCAAGCAAACCCAATGAGTTAATTTTGATTTCAGTAAAGGTACGAGTACAGCGGACCGTAAATTCACTTTGGTATGGTATGGTGACCTCATAAGGAAAAAGGTCTAATCTAGGTAGATTCACTGGCCTACAAGCTTCACCTAAAAAACTTTGGCCCAATCATGAGCCCAGCTGACCAGCCTTGGCGCTATCCCCTAAGGAGACAGTGAAGCTAAGCGATCCGCTCTACTAAAGACCCTATCAACTTTTGGGAATAGTTGCAAAACTTGGGTCAAAAATGATGGCCCCAGGCCACTAACAGTTCATGAGAATACGGCGTTATATTCATCTCTGGTCTGTGTTGCTGGACATGGACTAGATGTGTTCATCATATCTTAATATATCCTATCCTTCTCCATGACCTGTGTTTCTCTCTAGAATATTTTATCAACTACAAATCTGACAGTATCCAACTCGAGATATTTGCGATATTTGTATCAAGCAACCCATCCAAATCTCAATACTTCAACTCATACGCACAATCAATTACCTATTTCTATCGTAAAGATACGCCGGTATACCATTCCACTCGCTGTCATTTCAGCCATCCGATTTTATCTTTTTGATGCACATGTCTATCAGTAAGGTTTCAGATAACACGATGGAAGAAAACTTTGACTGGGCCGACGAGGTCAACGAAGCTGTCGATTCTGGCATACTTCCAGACTGCAAGACCTCTGAGGTAAGTTGTCAACCAGAACTACCGAAAAACAACGATATCCCCCATACTGATATTAACCTAGAAAACAATCAGTCACCTGCTCGCTAAGATAGAGGAGTGGTGTCAGAAGGATAAGAACACTGCCACCGGTCCCAACGGATCCCGGCGAAATACGAGTCAAACCAGAGACACCAGCCCCGAAGATACCAGCACATACTACTCCGAAGAAGCCCATGCATCTATAGATAACGCAGAATTTGAGCTCCCCTCAACAAAAGAAATAGCACCCTCCATTACTCAAAGTAGTTCCGACCCATTCGAGGACGCAGAATCATTTGATGTAAGTCCGCTTCTGTCTTTTCCTTCTTTTATTCTCCTCTATATATCCAATTTACCAACCTTCGTAATCAGGCACTTCTTGAGCAACTCGCGAAGACGTTGGAAGCCTGGTCATTCGAGGATTCCCAAATCGTTATCGCCAAAAATGTAATTACCGGTACCATCCACAAGAAGCAGGCCCAGAAACCCGGGTTTCAAACATCCAACGCAGCAAAGAAGCATGAACTTACCAGTTATTCCAAGGATGACGAATACGACGTCGATAATCACAAAATCTTCGAAGCCCAGTATACGGATGAAGGCATAGCGACCAGCACACCGATTGCGAAGTTCACCTCAGACCAAATCCAAATACCTAAAGAATCAGAACATGAAACTGCAGAGTATGATGTATACGAAGCTGAGGAACCATATATGCAGGTACTAGAGCGTTACATCAAAGCATATCCTCGAGCGAGCTTCCCTCCCCACTGCCATTTTCTAAATCTCAAGTAAGAACCGGTGCAGGAACAGATGCCACCTCGCCCTTTCGGAATACCCGAATGCAAATTGTTGCGAAACATGGACCGAAAAGTCACAATGGCCAGTATGAATATGACAACATGTGGCTTTAGCGAATGGATGAAACTTGCATCCAAGGGCATAAGCATACAAGAAGTTACTATTACTTCAGCAGAGAGAAGTTTGATGAGGGATAAGAAGCTGGGGAATTACCGGAGTAGACCCAGCGGATTAAGGAGGAGTTGTACAATTGAATATTTGTAGGAGATGAAAAATTGTTTTGGTATGACATTGTGTGTATCACCTTTGTGGCGGGAAACTCTCCTAGCAAGTTAATTACTGTTTGCCATGCGATGGAGGAATTGGATGCTTGTGCTATTGTTTGGTTAGCAGAATTAAGTAAACTTTTTTAAATCATAATGAAAAGAAATAATGTCGCTCTTCAGAGAGTGTGATGGACCGAAAATGGTTTGCTACTGTATACGTAAGGCATGCTTTTCAGTTTTGTGACCTGGTCACAATACTGATGGCGCAACGTAACTTATTAATCTTGTGGCATTTTGAACAACACGAAGCCGGCAATTTCCCCCCAATCGTCAAACTATATCAGGACCTGCACCAAATAGTTTGTTTTGCCTGCCCAGTCAATCCCAAATGCTCCGTAACCATTTGGACTGTAGCTTTATGGTAAAATGATATCTTCTTGCATGATCAAGTCACAATTCCTCCAGTCATCTGGGAGATCTTCAAACCTTATCTAGAGATCTATAAATATGAGCTCTTTCACCATATCCTAATATCTTCAATTTAATCTTTAATTCGCGTTGTTTCTTTCTCCGAGGTCCCATGAGTGACTAGTGCTATGTAGCTTGCGATATTTCAGAATTGTATCCTCAAGTTTCTGATTCAGCGTGATTATATTCGCAGTAACCGTGACGGTGCTTCAAGGTTGCCCGATACTTGGAAAAGCCTCGAGCTTTTGGAGTAACCCATAACACAATTTGAAACGCTTGAGTTCAGGTTCATTTTGTTAACGAGCCATCTCCTAGGGAAGCAGCTGTACTGATTAATATTAGTAAAATGGCGAGGACCCTCTGTCCGCATCACTACGTATGGCAGACATGGACTACTCTTCTGAATGCCTTTGAGCATCCAGGTAACCTCAGATCAAACCTCGTGGACTAGTTTTGGCATTATTACTATACGGCATACTCTGTCTCAGTTCCAGTCCCTCCCAACATCTTAGATACGCACACTAAATTGCTATTTTGCCTATTTTGCCTGGTACCTTGCTGATACTGACTTGTGGTGGTGACCGACTTCTACCCCCTTTCAAACAATCCAGGATACCGATCACATCTCTCTGCGAACAAGTGCACGTTTCTTGTACAGTACTTGCGGAGGATACGCTCTTACAGATAGACCGAAACGGCCGTTGAGACCCAAGCCAAGTCCTGCTTTGCGCGGACTGCGACGAAATCTTCATCACGAGGGTCCACAAGGTCGCACACCCAACTATAGAATGTAAAAGCAAAATTATAAGCGGTTTTTCTTATCAGGCTCTTCCATGTCGAGAAACCTCTGGTTCGTCATTGGCTCAGATGTCCACTGAGCAAATTCCAAGTCTTAAGGCGGCACGAATACCTAAATACTCTCGTGGAGGAGCTAACGACTGTTAGAAGATCCCTAATAACACCACGTTTCAACAATATATCTAGAAATCAACTCGGGTTCTGCAGCGAACACTTGATACGATGATAATACCAAACAGAGTCGCCAAAGTACCAACTCCAAAGGATTCATCTGCAAACGCGGTCTACAATGCGAACCCTATTATAAGCGTAAAACCGCCGGAATACAGGGACCAAATACCCCGGCAGAATCTTCCTGCAGACCATGGTAATATTTCCACGGACGACGAGGTGTCCAGAAAGGAGAGAAAGATTCGACCACAAACGCAATTTCGTAAGCCCGGTGAGTAGGGCTCAGTATAGCTCAACTAATTATTGTCTTTAAATTAGTAACGACGCCTGATAAGCAACTTAAATATAGATGTAGCTGATTTAGCGGTTCTTGTCTTTCAAAGTGGGCTGGAGCACAGAGATGGGCTGTATATGCAAAGATGATTGGGAAATGGGGCAGAAAGCTTCCTATACTTACACTACGTCCCAGATTTGGATGGTGGCATGGTAATTCGATTGTTATCGTTTGTGTTGTTCACTTCTTTCTTGTCTTTAGGCACAAGCATTTAACACTGTGGGTATTCTGAATTTTCCTTGATATTAAGTCTCTGTATAATTACTTGTGGCACCAAAAAACTTCAATCTGAATAACACAGAATCTCAGTTTTAACTTGATTTCGGCACATGAATTACTTGACTAATATTTAATTAAACGCCAGTTCTATCAACCTAAATATTTGTTATATGTTAAATCGCTGTTATGTTTTACACGATATATGAGAGCAATTCATCAGGTACCTTTGAAGCATACCAGAACAAGGGCTCAATGCATTGTATAGATGGTGAATGATGCAGAAGGTGTTCAATATTTTGAAGTGCTGACTATAACCCTAAACAAGCGAGACCTGAATTCCAAGTACAGCATGGTTTAGCAAGAGACGCGGTAAGTCTAACCGCTTTAAGCGATGTGATGCTTCTTAATGGTTCCGACTACAGGTCAGTCATACCCTCCTGCCATGCGTCGCACCAAATACATCTAGATCTGGCCTTTTCTTCGCAAAACTACAGGGTGTCACGGCTATCGTATGGCTGAGATGGACGGAAGATCGTATCTAATAAGGTGAACTCTTTTGATTATAGCTCTGCTTAGTATCCATGTTCCAAGTCTGTGAAACTAATGCCCTTCACCCAAGGAAAGTAAACAACGTGGTTCGCGAAGCCTTAAAGCCGCAAAGCCGCACTGTGCACCTTACGCCCTACACAGTACGCGAGGAGCAAGCCGTCAAGCTGGACTGTAACCCCTGCACATCAACACGTAGTAAACAGTGCCTTGACATACACTTATACTCAACTCTACATCCAGCCCATAAAAGACACAACTCTTAGTCAACATCTAGTACCAGACAACAATTCTTTTCAAAAGGAAGGAACCTGAGCCAGACCACTCACAACCCAGAACCTCTAGCCAAATCTAGAGCAACTCTTACGACAATGCCGCCCTCAGAAGACCGCCCAGATATCCCCGATGTTCCCGACCTGACTGGGCAGGTTGATGACTTCATGGATGAGATGTTTGACTTCCAGAAGTACTTGGAAGAAGACAACAACCCTGAGGATTTGTTGGTTTCTAATAATAGGAACCTACAAAATTTCAGCTCATCCTCTGGATTTCCATCAAATATACAGCTTTCTAGGACTTCGCGTGGACCGGTTTCGAATCCACCCTCCGAGGTGTTCTCACAACCCCCTTCCAACTCGCCTCGAGGGCACGTCATGGGATACGAGCAGAAGCAAGATGAACACGAAAAGCCTCTTGGTAGTCGACCCAACCAATATGATGCGGCGGCCACGTTCAATACAACACTCCTCAATTATCCATCTCAATCGAAGAACCATTCTTTCACACTTCTCAGCGACGATATGAATGCGGCTGGTGGTGTTACAACTTCTGATTGTTTATACTTAAATGAAGTCAACCATCTTAGGGAAATCCATCGAGATTACTCCTTCCCTACAATCGCTGCCCTTGCCGCGGAGAAGATGACTGAAGGTTTGATGCTAATCGGCGTGCGCTGGTTGTGCGTTTGCCCAACTTGTCTGGATAATCAAGTCCAATTTGATCTCCATTCAAACGATCCCACTAATTCTACTAGAATTGGGACCAGAAAATCTGACGCCCGAAGCGCTTCCATACCACAGTCATCCACAACACCATTAACTGGCATAGAATATTTTGACATGTTGTTCCGACAAAATGATACACCGAGAGTAAACCATACACATGACGACTATCCAAAGTACGATGGTGGTCTTTTTGACCCTCATTTAGGCGATGAGGTGAAGAAAGCTTCGCATCAGAACAATGAAGACGACTAGAATAGCTGGGACTCTGATGGAGATGATACTCTGGGGTCAAGGTCGAATGCCTCTGTCGTTCATCGGAAAGAGAGCGGAGTAAGTTTCATAACTTAGCGTTGATCAGGAACTCGCTTCTGGCTTTCAAATATTCTCGGACACTTCTTTTATCAAGCGAAATACACTGGTCGAGGGCTTTTGTCTTCTTTGTGGAGAAACAAGGATAAACCTTCTTTTTATTGCGATGTTATGTGTCATTTACCTGCCATATTTCCGCGTATCAATTAAGAAGAAGTTCATAGTAAACTGGAAATATACTTGCATTTTGAGAGACCAAACTTTTCTAAGTAAGTGATGTTCGATGATGGACCCAACCTCTAGAAGCCAGAAGTAATTTTGCTTGTTCATTCTTGACGTACGTACCCTTTATGTTGAATCATTACATAAGAATCGGTTTCTCGAATCGGTGTTGAGAACACCTGGCTGAACAGATACATCAAGAAAGGCACGAATCCTGTACTTACACTTCAGTTCTTCGCCTCCCACTTCCAATTGCTGCTCCTCTCAATTACTCGATTCACTGCAATGATTGCCTTCGAACTGGGATGAAAAATATCTGATAGAGTAGGAGACTCCCGCAGTTGAAAAGAAGTCGACTTCTCTCATTAAATGCCTAATACAGATTTTGGTATCAAGAATTTATCCTCTTCACACGAATAATTCGTATGTTTTAAACCACATGATTTGCGAACAACCCTTTTTTCCTGAAGCGCAACACTTTCTAACACGCAATACATATGACTAGTCTGGAAACTGAGAGGACCAAATTCTTGTTCTTTCCAATATGAATCCTCACGTATATAAGTAGAAGCTGTAGAGACTTTGGAAACACACTATCTATACCTCATCACGTGATGCCGAGGACTTTCTACCCAACAGGACAATAGACCTTTTATGAAGTTATCTTTGCCAGCAACTACACCTCTCGTGCGTTATCGAGCCTTTTCCCCTTGCTTTGAGACTACGGAAATCCCCCATTTAGATTTGTGTGACCCAAGTTGAAAAGAGCTTCTCTGACTAAGCCATAAGCGAGGGTGGGGTCGTCCCCCCTTTTCGCTTACTTTATGCTCGATCCACTTCGCGCAGAGTCGCCAAAACTCAACCATCCGAGTTCCAACGAGCTCTTTAGAAAAGGACCTTGTATATATAGTAACTTAGATGGAATTACTACCAGAAAGCGCTTAGCGCTAGTCTATGCAGTCATGTGAAGTGCAAGGGCGCTTTTGGGGTAACTTTTGGCTGGTGAATCAGATGTGAAAACTGGGGCTTCCTGAAAACAAAGATTTCTAGCAGGTCTGGATGGTTAGGCAGCAAGGCTGGGCCGAAGTATTAGCATACCCGTTGGCCTACCCCCCTGTACTATGGCAGGTGCGGTGCGGTGCGGGGAGGAGAGCCCCCCGGGGGGGGATGGTGGTACTAAAGAGAGCTGCCTTCATTGATCTTCCAAGTTTCCACTCCCATAATTCCTTCCCTCGCTGAATACCACTGCGACCAGATAGCGATCTTCTTTGAGAATCTTTCTTCTTAAATTTACTGTATCGAATCTTGTATCAACAACTCGCTCTTCTGAAGACAAGTCTTTGGAGTATTGCCCAAAAGGCTCGAGGCACCCTTCAAACACCAAGAACTTCGAGCAAGCAACACTCGAAATGAGTTCCTTCTCATCCAATCAAGTCAAGATTAGCCCGGTCATCCCCGCACAAGGCAAGTATATACAAATAGCCTGTGGGGGCTACCCCGCCTCTCACAGTTTGCAACGAGCTTACCCATCTAACTGGTTCTTCCTTGTAGGTGACCATTCTTCCCTGCTAACTTCCGCGACGCCAACGATGGCTTCATACCCAGACGAGCTTGACGGTCAAGCGATGCCTTCCCACGCCCCAGACAACCGAAATAACAGTATCGAAAATAATTCCTTGCCGTATGAGGACATTCTTGATGTGATAGATAAAGATTGGGCTGAACTCCAGCATCAAACATCATTGTATCAAAGTAGCGAGCATACAGGCGATGAATTGTTGCATGATTCTTCGAGCCCTCTTCACGAGCCAACCCCACTCACAAATAATGAGACCGACGATAAGCAAGCGATGGACCCTTTTGGTCTTTTCTCGAAAATTTATAGAGACTGGGATGAACTCCAGCAAAAACTATCATCGTATCAAAGCAATGAGCTTACCGACGTTGGATTGTTTCATAATTCTTCGAGCCCCTCCCACGAGCCAACATCACTTACATATAATGAGACCGATGACATGCAAGCCATGGCTCGTCCTGATATCCACAGCGACGCGATGCCCTCTCATACAGGAAGCAACAGTCTTGAGTCTATGCGGCCGCAGCCAAACAACGTTTTTACCCAGGACTCGCCAAACCAGAATACATTTGGCATCGGACTGGACGAAAATCGATCAGCGGACATCAATAACTGGCCCGAATTTGACCATATGATAGATGATGAAGTCCATGAATACTGCAAAAAAGTGGAAAAAGAAATTGCACAGGACTTTGAACACTGTCAACAACAACAACAGAATAAGCGCAAGCGTTCTGTTGAGGATATCGATGACGAAGATGACGAAGATGGCGAAGATGGCGAAGACGTCTCCAATGAGCAAGGGGAACTGCAGGGGGGTCCAATGTCGCGCCCTAATAAGAAGGCAAAGGTCGCCAAAGATGGGCATGGAAAGCCATCAATGGTAAGTTGTTAAGAACCCTAGACTTCTCTAGAACTCTCTACTGACGATCTCATTGAAGAATTCTTTGAATGGCCCTCCTGCCCCACAGAACGGAGTCCAGAAGAATGGCCCAGTCGCCATCGCAGTGGCCCCTCCACAAATGGCTAACCAAGTGCCCCGAGCAAAGCCAAAGACAAGCGCGAAGGTGTACCGACCCATTCCTCGACCCTTTTTCGACAAAGACTCGCTTGTCGATACCCAGGGTTGGCCCGTACCGGGGTTCAAGCTGAGAAATAACATCAGCTGGGACTTTTACAAGAATGCACCCGCCGAAGAGAAAGAGCTCTACGCAGCGCCTCCAGGTAAATTGCGAGAAGATCTGCCTCCTTTGGAACATCCACAGTTTGGAATCCGAGAATGGTTCACCAACAGCCTCAAATGGAATGATGGACCCCAGACTCAGGCTGAAGCGGAGGACTGCTTGATAGAAGCTGGGAATACCGCGCAGTGGGAGTTTAAGCTTTGGGCTGAGGGACTTTGGCACAACCAATACCAGCTGGACTCTAAAAGGTGTAAAAACGCCTGGAGAACAGAAAAGACGCGCCGTGACAAGATTGTTGCCCAGAGAGCAGCAGCAGCAGCAGCAGCAGCGGCCGCCCAAAATCAGCAGGACTGAGGGCACAATAGATAACGAGGAGGAGATGTGAGGGGATTTTTCTTCTTCTTTCTTTATTCAGATTGTCCATAGATTACCTAGTAAATGAATCCATGAACTTAGTACTTTAGAAACCTGTTTTCGTGCAAAAACCATACACTCTGGGGTATTTCCATAAGAATCACCAAGGATAATCTCCAAAACAAAGATCCGAGTATTCATTCATTTTTCACTTTCAAATCAGATAGTCCAAGAATGCTAGCAAAAACGCAATATCCGCACCAATAGCTCCGTCCGTCGCGAAAAAAGCACGAAACACGTATATCGCTTCCAGAGTATCAAGCCCCAGGTGCACTCGTGCACTCAAAGTAGATACCAAGGGTCCACTTCAATAATAGGTATCTTCCAGTAAAACAAAGCTGTTCAGTAAACCTGGCCACGGCTCTAAGGATTTGAGCCTCAACTTGACCCACTTTAAGTGCACAAGTACACCTGGGGCTTGATGCTCTGGAAGGGCTAGCCAATAGAAAATAAAGGATGAGTCACAAAGAGACACATAGGTGCCTTTTCGTCTTTCATCCGTCGCCTATCACTTTACCCCACTGGGGGATGAAGGATGACAATCCGCTAGTGAAGGGGATTTGCACATCCATGAACTACCACTGAACATCGCTACACATCCCTTGGCGCCCCTGAAGGAGGCCTAGTATCCCTGCATAGCCCTAGGGGGGGTGTCGAGGCAGGATTATCAGGTGACCACCACCTCTGGTAAGGTGTAGAGCATAGGATTAGATCTATACATATACAGCATACCCAGAGTGCCTATCCGCCCATCAATTTGAGAACGGACAACTATCTTTTGTGTGACCACACATCTCAGCACCATCGCCCACACACCGTTATCGCTAGATCTCCTCAGCATCATCTTAGTAAATCTAGTACAAGACATTTCTTGTTACTAGATAAATCTTCAAGATGAACACCCCAAGACTCGGCCGCAATACTCCTCAACCAGCAGTCCAGAACACCATAGGGCCGCACATTAATCCATACATCCAGGCATCTCAAGGTAAATATGCGAACCCTTGACCTTCCTCTTCTAACCTCAGACGACTTCGACATTGTTTGGGGCGCACTTCTAACTTTAATTTATACAGGTTACCAACAACACTGGGATGATATTTCGATGGCGCAACACCCAACCTCCCATCACAGTTCAATGATGCCACCGGACTCGAGCTCAAGACTAACTCGAAGTCCTGCGAATAACTTTAGCGAAGTAATGCCTTCTTCGTTTGATAATCATCGAGATCCGACTGTGCGATTTGACTTGGGTGTAACATCAGCCCAAAGCATCTCAGGTAACTTCAGCGAGGTAATGACTTCTGCGTATCCCCACCACAACCTAGATCCGAGGAATTGTGGGTTGGAGAATCCGTATAGAATGACAACTTCATTCGAACATCGGGATAGCAACCCAGTTTCTCTACCTCCATCCACAGGCAACTTGACCCCTGTAGATCGGGCTGGATGGCTTTGGAGTACGGAGGAGCTCGTCAGCATGGTCGAAACGATGCAAAGAGAGAAGAACAACCAGATTTCTGTTCCTCACACCATAAATGACTCGGGCCATGGAAGCCAGGTTCAGTTGAACGAAGACAGAGCTAGCGCCGAAAACAATGAAGAGAACCCTAGCACTACTGCTACTTCCCTCTCTAAGTTCGACAACATTAGCGGGGAGGAAACTTATGCGTATGGCTATGACCACTTCGCGGAATTCGACCCGGCTACGCCACAGGACACACAGGTTACAGCGTCAACCCCAGGTCAAGCTATGTGGGATATCCCCCTAAACAACATGGTTGATAATGCGATACCCAATATCGCTTCTGGAAATGGACACTCTGCGCCTAGTTATAAAGCCATGGCAGCATTGAAATGGCGAGTCCGAAGATCACAGGTAAGACTCACAACACTCCAAGAATTCATGAGAGCTTCAACTGACAGTTTCACTAACAGCGATCCCATGCTAAGTCTCACCTTGAAAGAAATGGGGGAAAAGATAATGGCATGATCGTTGACCACGGATCTAACTTATCGGACCACGTTTACCCAGACGAGAACACCGATGAGGGATATAGATCGCAATCATCCCGCCAACAAAGTGAACCAGCAACCACGGCCGGAGCCGCAGATGGACTCAAGCGTAGAGCCACAAACGAAAACTCGGACGACGCTCCACCTGCAAAGAAGGTGAGAAAGTCGAATCCACTTCGTGCCATTGACAATAAGTTAGAGGGAAACAAGCCTGATCCAAATCATTTCCCCCCGCCGAGAGTCCCAGGAGAACATCTGAAGATGGACTTCACACCAAGAGCCCGTATCCCCAAGGATAACAGTCCTACGGATGATGAAGCGTTCACCCATCGCAACGGACAGCCTACAGAGAGATATAAGGCTGAGCAAAAATCCAAGAGATTACGATGGGTATTAGGAGCTTTTGAAGCAGCAGACGGCAACGATTCTTCCGTACACGCTGCACCGCCAGGTGGCCTAAGACAAGATCTTCCACCTCTAATTCATCACAGATTTGGATTGAGACAATGGTTGATAGACAGACGATCTCCTCTTGTCCCAGCCACTACTCCACATGTAGACTGTGTCCAATTCATCAAAGACGCTGGCAACGAGTTGCAGTGGAATTTCAAGAATTGGGCAGAGGGCCAAGCTTGGATGAAATACCAAGAGGATAGTCGCGCTTGGCAAAACGCCCATAGACGGGAGAAGGCTAGAAAAAAGGCCAAAAAGTATTGCAGAAGGAAAATAAGGAATGAGGTGTGGGCTGCCTAGGATTGGCTGTAACAAGAAGGATAAACAGCCAGAACAGCCAATCCACCCATACCTCAGAAAATTGAACAGAGGAGACGAAAAGGAGGGTACAGTCATAGAGCATCACAGTCTCTACATTTCTGGGGGTTTCTCTTTCTTTCTTCTTTCTTAGTTCTTTCTTGGTACAGTGCACCTCTTAGAGATAGCTATGAGGTCGACAGAATGCATATACATTTTATCTAAAAAGAACCTCCCAGTGACGCAAAAAAAGTGAGTTCTATCAAATCTCAGGAATCTTTCCTTCCCTCGTGATCCGATCTCGACTAGGCAGGCACAAATTCTATATGAGGGAAAGGGGAGGAGGGGGACAGTGTGAATATAACCTTTAGAGAGAGAAAACAATATCAACCAATCGCTGTGCATTTAAGGCGCTTGGCAAAGTTTGAACCAATAATATCTATACAACCCACAGTAGTGAATTTAGAAGTGAGTAGCAATATTTTTATAGTACCTTAGTAGATGCTTTTTCATGAACATGTCAAGTGAATAAATCAAGGCTCAAAATCCAACAAGCGCCTTATGTAAGTCTGAGATTTTGCCAGTCTCCACACAAAATGAAGAACCATATATATATATATATGAGTGAATGAATAAAAGGCTAATTCTGTGACCACGTGTCTCCCTGCCATACCAATCAAATCTCTTAGAGCTGTCTATAGATACAAACTAGCTCCTTCCCATAGGTAAGTCTTACAGGCTCAACTATCATCACTAGAATTCAATTTATGAAACCACAACTCCAGCAACTCAACTCACCCTCCACTGCCAACAATAGCAACAGCAATACGTCAGGTTAGTACTCTCCAGTTGTTTCTAGCCACATGCTGTTTCGATATTGTTGAGCGAGCTGTGCAAACCATTTATACCAAGCTAAATCCACCTGGTTGTTATAGATTACTAGCTACCACTCAGTCTTTCGCAAACTCTGCGATGGCGTTCCATGAGCAAGAACATTGCGAGCTCCCTCAATAGACAATATCACGTCGCATAACGACCAGAAACTGGAAGATCCTGATGGATGCGGATCTATCAAGTCATTATCAGCACTCAGACACTCTCTCTTGCAGCTATATGGCCATACCAGTTGAGCCAGTAAACAAGAGCGACATGATGAAGACGAACTCACAATCTACAGGTGAGCTCTTTGAGGCCCAAACTGTACTGTCAAATGATGCTAACAAATGGGATGTAGACAGACGCCGCAGCCAACACATAAGACGATGGTAACGTAGAAGTACTATGAGAGCAGAGAGGAACAGAGGCCAGGAGAAGTTAAATGCCTCAAATACTAGAACATTTGAGCTAGCTGGATAGCTTGAGTTGACCAAGAAGCAAAGAGACACCAGTGATAAACAAGACCAAGGCTATAGCACCGGTCTCTTATTCATGTGAATCTGTTGCATGAGGAAACCAGAGAAGGGCCCGTCGCTGGATTCCACAAGAAAATGGTGCTAATTCTGCTTCGAATATCCCATCGCTCTTTATATCTGTATCAGTATCATATTAATTTGCATATATAGCCGCGATAGATACCTATCCGCCAAGCAGTGTATGTTGAGACTTGCACTTGCACGAATGATAACGTACGTATCATTACTATTCAGTTGACGATGGATTTTGCAGATCGCTCTTCGCTCAGCCCCTCGCATCAAAATACCCATGCCGTCGACCTTTTTATTCAATGGCAATCATGGGCTCATTATGATCTCAACCCCTAGTTGTTTTGCCCTGATGTTGGAGCACAAGATCTACCGCGATGTGGTTTTTGCCGATTTCCTTACAGAATTGAAAGTCGTCTGCGATGTGATATGAAAATAAGACAAGCTTGCTGACCGTTACTAGGTAGAGTTACGGCCCTTGTTTCCCTAGACCACTTTGGATGACCTCCCATATTCATACAGCTTGAGACGGTTTTGTTAATGGTTCTCAAGAAAGTTTTAATTGAGACTGAAGCTTTGTGCACCAGGCATTTTCGAGTTTGGCCAAATTTGGGCTCATTTCCAAGCACAACTGCAGTTGGTAGTCTACCGCACCAAAGTTTCCACACTCAGGCTTTTCCAAAAACCAGAGGTGGGCTTCTAAGAAACGAGCTCAATTGAAAACTAGTCTTTGTTGAGATAAACTGCGGGAGAAACTGAAAGCGAGCTGTTTGCTACCTAGCTAAGCTCTACTTGGCGCTATTTGGATGCTTTCCTCGCATGCTTTTCGTTATTTATGAAAGGACTCAAATATAAGCATTTAAGCAATAAAGTTCACCAAAATTTGGGAATGGAATTGGCAACCCATCGTTTTTGCACTGCTGATAAAGCAACTGATTTCAGGGAATTATACAGTATGTGGGCAGCAGATTTAGCCGTTCCTATACACTGACGTACTCCCTTCGAATAACTTCGCGACGAGAGTCGAAAGGCTGCCACAAAATCGAGATCTTTCGTCCAGCGCGGCACAATACTCTCATGTGCCTATACGTGTTCCCGATTTGACAAAGCCAGTTGCTGATACTGGCCTTGCTGTATCAACTATGAACTTGCACGATACAGACAACGATAAAGAGATACTGTTCTACAATATGCTTGGCGCCACAAAATGGAGCTCTAAGCTGTAGACAAAAGAGGAAAAGATATGAAATAGCGGTGTGCCTTCTAGGAGGCACGGTCATTCAAAACAGCCAAAAATCGAACCAGAGGTACCAACTCGAACTATTCCGGATGAACCGTCGATTCCTTGTGTCGAGGTAAGCTGTCTCCATTTTGAGCCTCACGATACTAGGCATCCAGGTGAACAAAGAGCAGGTGGCGACACCAATTATCGCTGCGCTAGCCACGCTGGTATCACACCTGACCATTTGCTACCATCTTTATCGAAAACACCAACATGAACATCCAGCGAAGGAAACCAACCACCAAGTTTTGCTAAAGGTAGGAACCTCTAATATTCCTGAGAAAGTCAGCTAATAGACTCATGGGGAAGTGTCAGGCTGATAATAAAAGGTCCCTTGAAGATAGAAAATAGGATTGCTATTTACAAAGTATCATAAAAACGCCATCAAGACACCAGGAAGAAAGAGAACCCCATCATCGAAAAATGTCTCGTATTCATAAGGCCCCGTCGTTCCAGTCGCCACTGTCCTCGACGGCTGAATGTGTCTTCTTGGCCCGAAAATATTTCCTAGTCACAGCCTCTGCTTTATGCAACTGACCTCTTGATCTTCTTCCCCGTGAAAATCAAGCAATAGTGCAGGGTTTGATTTGAGCTCAAGGTCTGATCCTTTTGCTGACCGAAAAACATGACCAGAAGCCTCTGACGATGGTAGTTTCCGCCTAGAACCCGGTGAGTCGACCCAAAGTATTGGTACCTCAAACACCCTACGAGTCCAAGATATTCTAATTTATATAACGACACAGAAGGAGTATACAGCAACAAAAAAGAATTATATATAGAACGACAGAAGAAAAAGAATGGAAGCCTTGAAACCTTATCACAAGTCTTCGTCTCTGCAATGTCTTGAAATCTGCAGAAATACAAGGCTCATAAGGTGCGGTGGCATCCTACAAACACGAGTCCTCAAACGCATTGATTTTTGGAGGCAATCGATGGCAAGCAACCAGGCAGGTTATTTGATGATCAAAGCCGCATTGACGAATATATGGGATCCAAATCGCCTTCTTGGTGACCTACCATCCATTGCCCTGAACTATGCCCTTGTTACTAACGCTCAATGCGAACTCAGAGCTTAACGAGTGTTGAGATTTCCAAAATGCTACCTTAATAGAGAAATCGAGAGCTCTTTGCAACAAGTTTTGTACTTTCCTCTCTCAAACAGCCGTTTCTTCGATTTTGTGGAGGCTTGGGCTAGGTGGAGCTTTTCAGCCTCTCCTTGATAATTTGTGCAAGAGTCGTATATAATTGCGCCTACATTGGAAGCAACGCTGGCCAGTTTCTGGTTTTGCTAGTTGATCTCTTCCGCGTACCTGGCATATATATTAGGATCCAAATAAAATCTCGATGTGCCATTCCAAAGTCATAAGCGAGAGCTATATCTTGGACCCCTATATTTCTTTTCAATCTGTTCAATACTTTCTTTCCTTTGTTGCTTTCATTGACGAAACCCACTATTTCCTTAGGATAGTCTCCTACTATTATTCTGACAATGTTTGTGGGCACACCTACGAGTGTGATCCTCATGCAATAAGTTTACATTTTTTGTAGTGGGCTGGATCCAGTATTGAGTTATGCCTTTGAATTAGCCGTGTTTTGATGTTGGTCGCGTGAGTAAGGCATGACGGCAGATGTGATTGGTCATATATACCATTTATCACTAACCCAACATCTCACTCTCTCCTAACTCGCGATCATCTTGACAAACATCTCTCTGTTCAATTCAACAACTCAGCAGCATGAGATGTGTCAGTACAGGTCTGCTAGCCCCTCAGACCAGAAAATGAGTCGTTGTAAGCGTGATTAGCTTTCGGATACCATGTATTGGAAGTGACAGCTGGAGGTGTGTTTAGAGATCGTGGAGGGCTACGCAAAGGACATAGCCGACTGCATGTGTTCGGAAGGTTAATATGTGTTCTGTCCGAGAAGATGTGTGGTGGAGATATTCCTCCAATGTCCATCAGAAATTCATGGATGCCGTCCCACTGATACTAAGCGACACCACGTCAGTTTCCACTGATCTCGCTGGATCTGCAAAGCTGAGCTAACCTGACATAACTAAAGGCATCTTTTTCGCCACTATGACCTTGTCTTGGCTTCTCTCAGCGAAACTTTGACGTCCCCAGCCTAATCTCTCAAGTCAGCGGCTTGAAAATCAAGGCGAGTATTGCAAAATACAGAAGTCAGCAAATCATGTGGAAGGCAAGCGAAGTTCTCCAACCACATGTGATACACCACATGGGGAGAGATTAGCTACCATTCATAAAGTGATCTCAGTTCTGCATTCTCTGACAGTGTCTGGC